CCACCATCAGTTTGCCAGCATTAAAACAAGTCACATTATTCAAGTCTGGGATTTTTTGTGTGCACAATGCTTTATTCCGCAAATTTACTTGCTAACCAAGTAGAGCGGGAAGAAGGCACCAACAGCAGATTTGGCCTCACTATTGCAGAAGACATTTGTTTACTGCTAGTCTATATTCGAACACTAACTAGAATATTGAAAAGACTGGGAAAGCAAAGAACGGCTTAGCAGTATTGGTGGGGATGGGGAAGTAGGACTCTTGCTGATATTCGTTTGGAATCACTTATGTTTAACCAGTCCGTACCAACTAGTCGTATGGATATGGCGTCGAAGCAGGAGCTGTTTCGTCGATGGATTGAGCTGGTTGACCGGTACCGCTTGACTTTGCCTATTTATTGGAGTTCGTGGGTGTGCGGATGGTTTGTTGTGTAATTTTTTCTATTTATCATGAATTTGTTCATCGGACAAGAATATTGTGTACAGCGGTTTGATGAATCCGAATCTACCCGATGTTTTTGTTTTGGCTGAAGCAGAGAGCTCGTAATGATCTGCACTACTCCGATTAAATCGATAAATCACACAATTGCTAAGTTAGTGTATGGCTGGTTATTTAACAATGATCTAGTCTTGAATCATCTTTTTCCCAAAACTTCAATTAATAGTATAGCAATGGGGGTTGTTATCGTATGCTGCATAATGTTTTGTTGTTTCTTATGATTAAAAATAAAATAAGGTGGGATTTTGTTGAATATTATCCCTAAATGCTTTACACAGTTCCCATATTTATCAGCGTAATGTTTTAATATTGCTCAGCGACTTCTTTTCTGCAAGTTAAACGCAATTATTCTGTTCCTGAATCTCCTTTCACGTTCATATGTTTAACACAAGGCTCGCGCTTCTAAAATGTGTTCGTGCTCAAATCCTGCAAATGTCTTCACAAATAATTGCATTATTACCCGCAATTCGGTTTGTTTGCTTTCCTTTGGGTCTCAAAGTGCTTTGGCAGATTGCCATCCCCATATAGCCGTATTAGTTAATGTCTTTTCTAACTCCAAGTCTATTCACTTATAAGGAATTGGGCTATCACACCCAACAAGGAGCAGGGTCAGGGTCAGTTATGCATGCTTTAGGTTTTAGTGAATTAATCAGAATGGATTTTAATTTGAATAACCTGGAATTTTTTTCATAGGTCGTCAGTTAACTTCTAATTGCTCTATTCCTGGGAAGTATTCCTTCTTCCTCCAAAATCCCAGTCTGCAGAGATGCAGATTAGCTTTTTAATCACCCCATTCAATGTGTGCGATTTCGTTAGGGCGAATATGCTTCCACAGCCTGCATGTTATTTAACGAAATACCGGACGTAATTTATTACCTGTCAACATATCACAATATTAATTTCTTTTATCAGGTTTTGTCCAACTTCCTGTCGGAACAGTTGGCTCAGGAAATCGGTAGTTTTAATGTGTGTTCTAGGCATTTGCAGCGGTTAATGCACTGTATCAATGCGTCTTTTGGGACGCAGATGGCCAAATTTCAAACACAAGTTGAAAGTTTGAAACGGTATTGTAGCGCATTTCGAGTGAAAGAAGTTGAAAATCTTATATCTAAGGTGCTTAGACTAATTTGGGGAATTCACGTGGAATCGTCTCGTAGGGCTGTTCAGTGTTTATCGTATTCGCCAATTGGCTCTGGACGCAACTGCATTCCGCCCCTGATGCCAAATAGGTGACATCGTCCATTGAAAATTTGTCCCTATCTCAATTGGAAAGTAAAATTTGTGGCCTTTGATAGAGACTTATGATTGGATATTTTTAGACAGCGTAATCACCTGAACAACACTCACTGTGTATTCGTGAGCGATATCATTCCCCTGGTTGAAATTTTGACCAGCTTTTGATCAACTGAAACACGTGAAACGATGATACCGTCATGCATTGTATTAAACTCTTAATTATCTGGTAAAACCTCAATCATTTGCAGTGACGTGCCATGAAGTAAAGTATTGTAGGTGATCTAAAAGGTCTTAATGACTCACTCTCTGGTTAAAACAGGTGACAAGTTTGATGTATCACAGTTCAGAGCCATGCGCTGAGCTATGCCGTTGGTAACTAGAGGTTCGTATGGTGACGATAAACGCGTCAGCGAAGTTGTAATTTTAGCTTATGCGTTAATTAACTCAGCCAACGATTAGCTTGCAAATAATGTCAGCATTGTAATAAAAATTTAAAAGTTATATTTAAGTCTGTCCATGAACTATTTTAGTAACTGAGTCTGTCGAATTTGAGAGGTAGCTATTTTCGTAACTTTTTATTGAGTTAGGGTGAATAGGTAAGTGATACCCCAAAAATGGAATCTTTTTATCTGAGGCAATATTCAAAATATGTACTAATTGACCTTTTGAGTAAACTTTGAGCAGGTAAACAAATGCACTGAGTGGGCAGGGGATATTCACTGTTACGCACGTCCTTCGATAATGGCGATATTGCACTGATGATATAAACATGACATAGGTCAGGGGGATAAGCAATAAAAAACTGGGACCTAGAATAAAGAAGAAGCAAAAGCCAGGCCATTTTCGAGGGGTCACTTCTCGGCCGAACTGGAACCAATGGGAGAATTGTTTTGCTCGGGCAGCGGAGGGTGGACGTTCTCTCCGAAGTAGGAGGCCACATTACCGGGAGGAAAGTAAAAGCAGACGACGACGGTTTTCGAGGAGAATGGTGCATCTCCTTCTTCGTTCGCAGTTTCATTTTGGATAATCCGAGTAGCCTTGCCAACGCCCAAACTCCGAGATGATGCCCAAATCATTTGCGTGAAGTTTCCTGGTAAAGATACCGTGATAAGTAAATAAGGATTCTGCAGTACCCATACCACGCTGTTTGCATGAAACACTGAAGCGAAACAGAATTTAGTGATTCAACATTACAACTGACATCATGGGGTGAATTTGCGAAAATAGTTCACAAGTTTAATAATCGTTCTTAAGCGCTCAGTGCTCGTACCACACATTGTTAGTTCGCAGCAGATAACCTTATACGAAACCTTATTTAGGCTCCAATGTAACTAAATATTTTAACAATGACTACTTTTTTAAGATCATTTGCCACAAAAGTTACAATCCCGCCTATCACCACATGTTCATTCCATTAAACCTATCACTTCACTGCTGTACACGAAATGTCGCAGTTCAAGTAGAGCACTAAGACACAGACATATCTTAAGATATGTTTCACTAAAAGTGCTTTATTTACTCTACATAATTCAAACAAACCTCGACGATTTGAATAATCGAATGTGATCCTTACTATTTAGGGAAAAAACATTTCGTCAAAAGTGATAGGCCATTTAGGACACGCATTTTATAGCGTTGAATAAGCTAATTGTATTTGAAAAGTAGATTTTACAGAAGCTTTGCACGATGAATGATGCTTCTAACAGTTACAACTTCTTATCAATTCAATCTTTTCCAGATGCCGTGGACTGGAATTAACCAATGGCAGTAGAGCCTTGTGCTGTCGAGGCGTCAAAGGTGTGCAGTGTTTTCAATTTCAAAGGAGCATTATCTCCACACATGCACAAAAAGCTTCGAAAGTTGAAATGAGTTGTCATGCTTTTAGTTTCCAAAAAGCATGACATGAACATTTTATTCGCAACTGACCTTTTCACAATAGCACAGGGCCCACCAGGGCCTGCAAAACAACAATTTTTGTACAAATTATGTTTCAGGTGTGGATTTATTAATATGATTTGCTTAAAAAACTTCAATAACCCTTCGAAAGCAGTTTTTTTCGAAAATAAATAAGAAGACGTGACAACTTTAGAGCTCCAGGGAAGCCTGGGATATAATTTACCTGAAGAAACCACCAAAAATCCACGGGATTTTGGATTTCGAACAGTATTTTAATTTTATACCCATAGCCTTTGCATTAGTTAGGCTTGCTAGAGCCTGGGAAAGAATTTTGGCTTACCGATACCCTGTATGCTGACTGGTTCACTCCCGTACTTAAATCGGGAGGCCTCTTGATACCAAGTTTCGACAACGTCACTGGCTAAAACAGAAACAAAGCTATTGGTACAGTGCGTCGTAAAACCGTGATCCGTTTATAGGTGTGAGCTTGCGTAATTTTGACTGATATTGATATTTCTTCTTTATGGATTATCACAATGACGATTAGAATGCTGGTCACCTTTGAGCGGAAAAAAATATCCAGAATGAAATTTCTGGATCCTTTCTAAGACGCGCATTGTGTTAAGCAACCAACACATTAAGCCCAATTTGTTTTATGGCCTTATGCAAATGAAGTAGTTTGATTTGTCGAAGATGATCATTTTTTCATTTCATGATATGATCAACTCTAAACTGCCAGCTTCAAGCAAAACTGCCTGTAATTTGCTTTCAAAATAAGTTAAAAATTTGACAAAAGCCTGCGCGAATTTGCACCATCTTCTGGTAATCAACCTCTACTTGACAATAATGAAAAAAGAGGTGACGAAAGAAGCTCAGACCTGTTTTCTCTAGCGCCCTATTAGACCAACGACTGGTTATGTTCTCGCCTAACCGCACCCCATCAACGGTGAAGCCGCTATTGGAGAGACAAGCTTCCTCCACCAGAAATTCCGCCCACTCTTGTGCCATCGCGCACAGCCTCTAAAAGGGTGAAGAATGGGTGCTTTTGTTTGTCAAACTACAGAGCTGCAAGAACACCAAAAAGTAAATTAAAAAAACACAAGTTTTGGTGCTTGAAGTGAAGTTTGCAGTTAATCTAAAATAGGTCATCGGTGTGCACACCAACTCTCTGCCTACTACAACGCTTATGCTTGGAAACAATTTTCACACAACCATGTTTTAGTCCAGATCACCCTCAGGCATCTTGAATTATTGGCCGAAATTTGGATATCACATCATCCTCTAATACTGTTAACAGCACTTTGTTCAAATTGTCCCAAATTTAAGCACCATACCTAGACTTCAGTGCTTTTTGTTGCCGATAACTGCAACCAAAAAGCGCTTTGAATATCAAGGTACTTCCAAACTCTGGCTAGTGAATGTGCTTAGTGAGATTATGGTTCAGGATTTCATAACCGCGCCAAGAAAGAAAGCTGAAACGTGGCACAAAAAGTTCCGAGAAGGTATTGTTGTAACAGGAAAAAGGAGCGTGCACGGCGAAACATTTCGAAAGAGGTGGTGAACCGAGTTCGCGAAGCGTGCAGTCCTCGTCCAGGGAAATCGGTGTGAGGAGTAGGCTCAGCAACCCTAGCGCTTAGTAGATCATAAAAAAACGCTTGCAACTAACCTCCGACAAGCTTCAGTTTGTGTGGATTTTAAAGTCGGGCAACACGCGAAAACGCCAAATGCTTCGTGAAGATCTGCAAACGTTACTTACTTCAAGACCGTACATACAGAATGCTGGTATGCGGGGAGGGGCTCAAAAGTCCACATGCTACACCTAAACGTGAACTCGCTAAGGAAGATTGTGTTCGAAGCCATCTCAAAGAATTATGCGCATGGCCCGACAACAACCATCCAGAGATGCCTCAGAACGGGCCACTTGACGAAATGAGTGACAATGAACACGCCAAATCTACTGCACTAATGACTCTCAGCTCAAGCATATCTCAACCAGAAACTGGCAGGGGAATGTGTGGGGAGTGAGCTTTTGAAATGCCCCCCCCCCCACTCTCACTTGACTTGACGCCGTCTAGTGTCTTTCCACGAAGCACCGAGGACTGTTACACAAGACGTGCGGCAGTGGGTACTGCAGGAACTCGACTCCCAGCCTGAATGTGCCAGGTCGCATTCAATACATGCGTTGAACATTCAAATAATTTTCTTCTTTTATTATGACTCCTATATTTCACTTCTCCTCATCAGCTTTTCGCTTTCGCCTGGACATCTCAAATGATATTAAATTGCAAAATAAAAGAAATGCTTAAAAACATGTGGTTTCCTTGCCAAGCAGGAACGCATATTTGAGTGATTAGGCAAGAGACTAGGATGGATATTTATTGTGGGCACTGTGGTGCCACAGCACTGAATCCGAAGGGTTTAGACTAGACTTGAGTTGTGATTTTATTGCCGGCAACAAGCATTTTTAATCACGTGTCTGGGACGCCCACATCGTGGAAGTCAAAAGGTTTCCAAAATAATTAGAACGCACTGCATTGAGGACAAGATCAGCTGCACCATGCAATCGCCTGTAGCTATTGTGAATTCGAACCATTTCTTCAGAGAACTCCAAGGGAGTTTGGTTCGAGGGTTGCTAAAATAATAAAAAAAGCATTTTTTTTGCATTTTCAAGATTTACCTTTGTGGCATCCCAATTCGTGGCAACTGGCAATGAAATTACACAAGAAGTCATACATAGTGGGCCACGAAAAAATAAGTCGAAGTTCAAACAACCCAAGATAATGTCGGCAAATTATTCACACAAGTGTCCTTGAAATAGCTGTTACTCATTAGATGGTAGTAAACGCCACACAAGTCAACAACGACACAACTGGCTAACGTCAACGAACTTTACGCGTTCCCATGCATTCCTGAGTAGATTTTGTCCAGAAATTGGTTCTGGCACATCAACAGATTAGCCCTTTACTAAATCTAGAATCTTGATTAAAACTGTCATTTTTTAAGGGAAAGGCTGTTCTTAAAATTGCTTTCGGTGTCGACTGGGTCATAAACTTAGAAGGTCCTCTGGTAACCAATATAAACTCGTGGCTTCATTCTCATTACCTCGAATTTCGGCATCTGACCGGCATACTGTCTTAGAGCATATTAGTAAAACATTCGAAATGTTAGCTGCCGCGAATAACTCCTATCAGTTTGACCTCATTATTCCCTTCCAAAGGATTACCGAAGAGTTTTAGAGCTAAAAGTGAAGGCTTCAAAAGAACAAATTACCTGATATTTTAAACAACTATTGTTTGGCGCTATTTTAGTAAACCTAAATGGGGCATAATCCATTGGTTTCAGCCCGATTTCAGGTACTTGGGAATCGTTGTAAAGATTATCATAGAAGAACATGATATAAGGTTTTCTCATTTATTTGGATTCCTAAAACAGCTTGTCAAGCCTTCTTTTGGCATTGCATTGTCTCAAATTACCTCCATAAAATGCAAACGCAAAGCAATGTTTTTGTGTAAAATCACCTGAATTTTCTGTTTTAGATCCAGTGGCCTCTCCAATGGTAAAGTTAACCGCGCTTCTTTTGAGACAGCATCAACACAAATAATATTATTAATTATTCCAGATATTAAATTAGACACAATTTTCTTTGAAACAACAAAAGAGTAATGAAGTGTGGTAGAAATCTGTTTAGATTTGTCACAAAATCCGCGGAATAAAATGAAGAAAAATAGTTTAAACTTTCATCAATACTTAAAATCAAATGACCAAGAAATTTCGTCGATTACGATTTCCGTTGCGCTCTTAAGAACCCCGCATTTTGGTAAGTTAAATTACCAAATGCCAGCCTTACGTCGGGTCATGTCCTGTCCAACATTTTGCTCGGACATCGACACAGGTAGCCTGCACGCAAACCGCGATCCCAGTAAACTAGATTATTCGTTTTTTCGTTAGAGGACAATAGATTTTTTCAGGTTTAGCTGCTTCTTACTTGCATCACAAAAATGTGGCCTCCAAAACTGAAGTACTTACGAATTGTTTGAAAAGCAAAGGATGTAAGTTCTCAATCACATCGTAATTACCAAAACTCGATGCAATTTAGTTATGGGAAACAATTAGTGATTCCCAACAATCCTCAATGGGCAACTTTTATTATCGAAATTATTAGCAGCAGAAATCAAGAATGTCGGATAACCAAAAAATTGGAAATGTTGAATACTGTGATTTGGCCTACTTGTTTGCATTCTTGCAAGTCAAAAATTAACATTTCTTCTATCCGATGCTATTTGAATAACATCCGACTATATCAAAATATCAACTTTGTTCTCATTTATTTTGGCACCAATTTTGTAAAAGGGGTAAATTAAATTTGGAGGACACGTAGAAAAGTTTCGCATTTGCAAAAAGATTGCATAAAATAAGGCTCGTGTTTTCTGTAGGCTATAATTTAATTAACACTTTGACAATATCAAAAAAAATTAAAACAGGATAATACAGACCTTAGAGTTTAAATCACCAGATATATAGAAAATTTTCAAATATTTTTTTGCACTTGTGTCTATGTTTTTCTGTGGAGATAACATTATTTTAGAATAGAATTGTAAACATTCCGAATTCAAAATCCTCTAATTATAGCAATTTTAAAATGAAATCAGAGTCACTTTTAAAAAGTTTATTACATTTGACTACGGGTATATGCACTAGTGATTGGCACACAACAGGTGTTAATAAATGAAATGGATAATAAAATAAAATTTAATTTCGCAATCGCATGTATTATTCAAGAGCAAATCTACTCACTGAGGGGGTAAGTTTGATTGAAGGCGGTGGCAGGGCATTTTCGCGATGTTCAAATACTTGAGCACCATTGTCATCCACAAAACGTTCAACTACACGTCGATATACCTGCAAAATAAGTAGCGTAACTTTACTTAATAATGCAGTTAGATTTTAGGCGTGCGCAGGATGCGCTTAAAAAGACAATAACTTACACTGTTGCCTGCGTCTTTCGTTTCCGAAACTTCACGAAAGACAACATGTTCTTGCCCATTAGCATCCATCTCTTTGTCCTTTGAAACCGTCTTTTTAGTAATGGTTTGGCGAGCTAAAATAAAATTTGAAAATTTGCAATATGTATAGCTCAACATCAGTTTGGCTGCAGAAAATACAGACCTCAAACATTAAAGACATGTCTGCCCTTTTTTAACTCAACATGTCATATTAATTCAAGGTTCAAAGGTGTACATGAATAAACATGTACATTTTAGCGTCGTTTGAAAATACGTGCATCGATGTTCGGGAGTACAAAAAATTGACTGTAGAAATTCACTTAGCTTTACAAGTCTGAATAACCCTTACGTGGACTGAAATCCTTGTTGCTTTGTTCAGAAATGGCGGGGAAAACATTGTTTCTATATCGACCTCTAACATTTCCAGGTGGTCGATAATGAGCGACAACCACGCACTGACCCTTCCGTCGCGCCTTGCCGAAGCCGACCTCTTTAGTTCCGGCCCAAACCAGCTGCGTAAAATTGCCTGATTTACATAAAATAAACTTTCACATAGTTTGGCGAGAAGTCTTACGGGACCACATTTATTAAATGTTACGTTATGTTTCATTCGGGACCCGGAATTTTTATATGCCTTAAGGCATCGGAAAGAAATAATATTTTGCGAAGCATAAGGATCGCAAACCAAGCTATATTGCAATTACTTATTTTATCTCATACTTGTGCTAGAACCAGTCTATCGTAATTTTCACCTAGTTTAAAGTATAGGTAATGTTTTGAATCGAAGCACGTGATGCCTTGTCAGCGCAAAACGCTATTTTCGATTCTTGATTCCAATAATATTGAATTGTTCTTAATTTCATTCAAGTAAAATGTGCATTTATGTCATTTGAATACTTACAAAGATCTCTTTGGTGCATTATATTTTATGTGGGTTATACACAGATTTTCTCAAAGATACTACAAGAACGGACTTACCAACTGGCAGAGAAGTAACTTTTTAGCTTAATATGCAGAAATTAATCCCAAATTGGCTATCTCTTAACGAAGTAAAATGGTAATTTCTTTATGTACTATTATTAAAAACCTCTTATCCTGAGTACTTTCTGTCACAATGTAACACATAATACCCCACTTAATTGGCTTAAGACTGCTCAGTAAACATCTTTAGTATTACCCAACTCACATATAACTCATCCGTCGCAAACGAAAAGGAAGCCCTTTACCAATTACAATACCAACCCCCTTTCATTGTCTTCGCACCACAGATATTAATATTTTGAATGGGATTTGCCAGGGTAAAAATACGCTTCTCTGTGACGGGGATGCTACAATTTCGCGATACCCTAATACTCATGTTACAGTCTACACCATATTTTATTAATTAGAGTGACCACTTGCTCTAATTATCTGATTTACTGATTTTGTGTAACTGAGTTGATTCGTTATATTTCCAAACCTTTAGGAAATGGTACATGCGGTGACTGCTTACCAGCACCTATACAGTAAAATTTTTGGACCGATTTAGTTAAAGATGATTTGGTTAATGCAGCAAAATTAAGCGTTATTTAAATCATACAGGCAACGCCAACAGCTAACATCAGCAGTAAAAATGCGTCAAAATATAAGCAAATGAAATACGATACACTATGAGGGAATAAATAGACATCATCCGATGTAAATATGCCTAACTATTTTGCTAAGACATTTCTGCTAAAGATCTGCATTTTCTGTAGAAAAAATCCGGTTTACTAATGCTATCACAAACTAAAAACAAATCAATGGCAAATTTATACATACATGTGATATGAGAATAGTCAAAAACGCTTACCTGCAGGACCAGTTCCTGATTCAAAATCATAGTTCCGAATATCACTGTACCATTGGGCAGTTAATTCAACTCCTAAACATAAACAGAGCCAAAAAACCGTGCATACCTAAAATGTCCACCAAGTCTGTTGTGGCAGTTCGCTTGCTAATGCTCTCACCGATTTCTCCTCTATTTGAAAGAGGACTGTTAACTACATCTTCTTTTTGAAGAAGGGTTTCAGCCCATTCTTGAGCAGTCTTATCAAGGGCTATACTATGGCGCAGAGGTTCAACCATATGTAATTTGCGAAGCCGATTATGCTCCCTAAGGCATTCCTCAACAAAATCAACGTGATCGTGCATTCCAGCAACAGTTCATAAAGCGGCCGCCCAGGATATCAATTATAAATATTTCATTGCTTAATTAAAACTTACGTAAACAGAAAAAATTGTTTGAAGAGTTTCGAATAATTTATTGCAGACCGTAAACCTACTGTGAGTGCAGACTCATTGGTAAAAAGTTTGATGAAATTAAGTTTAAAATTAGAATGCTAGTTCAATTCCTTGATGTGAAAATCAATTTGTATTCATGAAGCAATAAAATATAGGCAATAATAGACAAAGAATTGAAAAAAGGAAAATGTTTAAGCAACTGCTAGTTTTTACAGGGATAGAAACACGCTAGATTGCCCTGGATGATTTAGAGTACTATAGAAGTTTCTGTTTGAGAGCAGTTAACTGTCGCAACATTGCTGAACATGTTGTGGAATGCAACACCCATTTTTTCATGCTAATCCATTTATTTCTTTCTTGTTTTAATTAGATAGGACTTCTGAAATTTAAGGGCTGCCTGTTAGCGTTGATCATTAAATTTAGACATCATGTGCGTGTTCCGAACCGTCAGGTTCTCTTTACTTCCCGATGGTTGAATAATCAAGAGACTGTTTGAGGCTTTTTGTCTATTAAGTTCTTTGTGACCTGTTAACTAGCATCATTAAAATTCAGTGCAAATATCACTAAAATTAGTGACCCCAGTGAGATATATTGTGCATCCACTTAAATGTTTTACGATCCTCTACGCTGACAACGTTCACGGATTCCGCGGACGTGTAATTTTGTCTAAAAATCTAAATCTTTAAGAAATGCTAGCATATGTTAGATAAATCAAGTTTATGTTTCCATTCAACATATCACCTTGTAAACCACGTTCGCGCCTGTTCTTGAAATGCAAATTAAAGGTGTTGCTGCCAAAATCATAGACTTGTCTGATTCCTTTTTCTTTAGAACCCCAATAAATAGCTAGGGAAAATTCTTCCTACACGAGCGACTGTCTGGAACAAAGTAGCTGATATCCATCTTCACACCATGAATCAATACGCATCCTAATTGGTAGGAATAAAGAAATTAAATTATCTTATAAGACACATAATTGCAATTAATTAGTTAAAATGACCTACTATGCATAGGTTGCAGAATTATTTTTCATTTCCACCTGTTTCTATGGGAAAGTAACCGCGCTCGATTGAATCTCACTGACCAATTTTGACTTTATCGACTTTTAGCTATATTTTTGCGTAAATTGCTACATTACTTAACTAAAAATATTAGTGCATACCTTTTAAAGTCAAATTTAACCAAAATAAATTCGCAGAGACTAGTTCGATTAAAAACAAACTTCTGAATGCGGGTCTTTTGTCCTAAATGTTTTAAAGAATGCGTAGAGTTTTATATCCACCTAATTGCCTGTACGACTGAGTACGATTACCTTTTGACAAAGAATTTTGCTGAATATGTCTTTTGATTACATTTCTGCTGAAGTATGATTTTAAGTGATTATGTTTTACCTATAATGTCGACAAATCGCGTTTATTGTTGGTAGTTTCTTAAAAATACAGACTTCGCTGTGGACTTATAATATCATTATTACGGAAAAATTGTGCTGCATAATTGCTGCCAACTTTTCCACCATCACTCAGTCCAATCATATTTGCTTAACGATAGTGGCATGAAATGTCTTTATTCGAAATATATTGCGGTAGGTAAATTGCATTACGATAGCATTTTTAATCGTCTTTTTTGTTTACGACTGAAGAGTCACAATGCGTTCTTAAAGGTTTTACCATCAACTTTGCATTCGGACATCTTCCGTTTTAAATCACCCAGTCTAAACAAATCTCGATCCAAATACCGTAAAGACCATAGTCATTGTTAGGTTTCCGTTGTTAATTTAATTTTTTTGGGTTAGTCAATGTCGCTGTCTATTTTTGGAAGCACTGTAAAGAGCATCAGGGTAATCTGGCCCTCCACGGTAAAAACCCATTAATTTAAAAACCTGTAAGACTTGATTTGTAATGCAGTGAAATTCAGGGTTTTATAAAGCTGTTTGCTGTGCAAGAAACTTAAAATGTGAGAACCTGATCCATTCGAATATGCATAAATTAGTGCTCTATTTTGATGTTTTTTGGGTCCAAGGACGTTAAGTTTTTCCATCTTGGGCCAGCTAGATTTTGCTATTTCCATTGTATAATTTTTTCTATTAATTAAAAGTTGCTGAAGGATCCTTGGATAAATTTTTCAATTGTGATGGTCCTAAAAGGTTTTACAGCAAACTATGCTAACTCCTACATTATTAGAGGATGGTCCTTAGTACTGCTGCGTTTGTTCGATATTGTTGGGCCAACTGGTCAAGCCGTAAATTTCAGAGGGCCTCTGTTGGAGCGGGCGCAACTTTCGAATGTGTACGACTGGCGCGGTAGATAGCCGATAAATGTCTGACCAAGTTCTATGCAATACCGTTTTTGATTTTGAACTATTGAGCTGTTTGTAGGAAATTTGCTGCTCGTGTTAGGCTTCAGATCAGGATCTCATCTAGAGAACGCAAGACGAGATTTTAGACCCAAAACATTAGCTGAGAAATCTAATATTTGTCTTCAACTGAAACAATCTCAACATTTTTAAGACATTTTAAAAATGATGAAGGGAGGACTACGTTTGGACGTTACCATATTTGACAAATCCCCTTTACAGATTATTCATTTACTCTGTCTTTGTATTCATGGCCATCTTTTTTCGATGAGTAAAGTTGCAGTTGGGAAGTCGACTCAACTGCTCTCTTGGGTGTGTTTTTTATTGCCTCAGAAAGCCAGGATTAATTACGTGGTTCAATTGATTTCACCAGAGAAGCTAAAAATCTCGTGGATAATAGCAATGTGGCTATCAATATTTTTGCCATATTCAACTTCAAACTACTAAAGTCGTGAATATTCATGACTTCCAGTCGTTAACCTTTGCCATGATCTAGCCACAACAAAGAGTTCAAAATCACCTATACTTAACATTCAAATATTTGTAATTCATTTGCGATTTCAAATATGTATTAATGGGAAATTCAACTTGACTACAAGTTCTTTTGCTGAATCAGATTGAATTTTATCGTTCTAATATACAAATACATGTATTGAAATAATTTGAAGTGATGTAGACGATAGGAGCATAATCCTGTGTGATTTCGATAGCTCACGAACTACGTTCAATGATGCATTGAGCCTTATTAAGCAACTTCAAAGGGGTCTGGGGACATTTGCTCGATCGGATCGGCAGTCAGCCTCTTTATAGTCATATTATAGACAATAACTTTGCTGAATTAAATGATTGTTAATATGAGGCGTGTTTCTTTTGCAAAAAGACATTCGGACAATGGACTCGACATTTAACATGAGTGACCTTTGTGCTTTGCGAAACCTAATTGCTCCTGATGATTGTTCAAGTGATGAAGAGAATGTGAGTACAATTTTCACGTTTTAAGATTACATAATGTTTGTGGAGTTTCACAAAAGGCGAAAAATAAACGCTCCGTGGTATCGTCCGCATATGCTTTTCAGCTTGCAAAACCATCAATCAGAAACAACCCCTCTGATTTTGGGCCGAAAAAGAAGAAAAAAGGTAGATCGCTGTAGTAAAGTGGTAATACATAGTGTGCAGGCCGGGAGGTTGAAAAAAAACAGGTGAGAGACACTAGTGCTATTTGGCAGGCAGATGAAGTTCCCGAAGTCGATTATGTGGAAGATATCTACGATCCTAGACCACAACCAGAGTAAGTTCTGGTTACATATGCCAGTTTTTTTTTTCAAAATTTACAAAGTGGTCGATAAATACTGACCGAAAATGGCAAATAATAGGTCAAATTAATGATTGTGTAAAGTCTGTTAGTAATTTGAAGGCAGGTTATCCTTTTGAGGTCAATTAAAAATCAGATTTACTCAAAATTACACTCCAGGAAATTGCCTGCACACTGAGTTTTATGCTCCGGTCAAAAAAGTGCATTTCCGATTATCATAGGACGATTTCCTAAATATGTTCGAGTGTGCTGGAGCCAGGTCAGATCGAATGACCAAAGGTCCCGATAATTCTGTGCTCTTGGCGTTTCGCAATGAAGAAACGTGGATTGCGAATGATTGTAATGTTGAAGGCAAACAATTTTTTGTGGTATGCTTAAAATCACAATTTGCATAGGACCTATTCTGGTTACTGTGAGAAAATTCAACATCTTGTCTTATATTTTGCTTTGTAAACAAAAAATATGGCTTCTGTAAAGTGGAAGCATGTGCTTCTTCTGAACTATGTTCCATTTAATCGCCATTCAGTGTCACAAATTGCAGGTAGTGTTTTTATTCACCTTAATAGTGTCATTTCTCCCAAACGAACCTTATTTATAAACCGAGCGTGTATGTACTTTAATCTCTGATAAGTGGCCACTAATGTCACAAATCATTTAGGTACGAAATTCATTTCAAACAGGACGTAAGTGCAGAGGATATGTTTCTTCAAATGGGCCCAAAAAATGCAACAACTGCCTGCTGTGAGTACATGGTGGTAAGTCAATAATTGGTTCTACTCTCATCCCGTGGTGCTATTCCGTAGTACATTCGTACCTGCATTTCACCTGTAGGTGGCGGTAAAATTACCCGGAGTAAGCGCTAAACAAATCAATTTGGATATAAAGGAGCAATTTTTGGATCTCCGGACCCCAAAGTAGTAAGTTAATATCGTTACATTGTCGTGGTTCTCAAAGGTGAAGTCGTATTATGTTCCGTCGCTCTATTTTCTACGCATATCTCAAAACATCGCCGCCCTGAACGAAATTAGAGTGGCATAAATCGATGATTATCTCTACACTGTCTCAACACTGTCCAATAAGTTTTAGCCTCCAATTTCTGCTTTACAGAAGGTGGTACTTAAGTATGTCACATGACCACAAGTCCCACTTGTTTGTGAGCAAAATAACAGGGAGGCCTTAATTTAAGACGTTAAGTTTGGTACCTGACCTTTGGCTGGCTAATAATGGCTGTGTTGGCCTTGATGGCTAATTATACAAGACTATAAAATGTGCTCCAATTAAAGAATCCATGAAAATGTAATCCACATTTAAATTATCTGTTTGGAGGTGTTAGTTATAAAAAAATTTTCGTTAAAAAGCTATCAGTTTACGGTGTGCTATGGGCGAGCTTAAAACACTGGCTTATTTCATTGTATCGATCAAATATTCCTTAATCTTTTAGTAAACTTGGTCTGCATCTTCCGAATCGGGTAAAACCGGAGTCCTCGCACGCCAAATGGCTCGACGAGCAGTCAGCGCTGGAGGTCACTCTTTTAAACGACAGAGAGCTCGATTTTATGAATTTTTAAAGCTAAAGTGAATCTGACACCGAGTAGTCTCTTTATTCGTTCCGGGAGTCGGGACATTTTTGACTGATTTAATGTGTTTTTGCTAAACTCAGTCGATAATGACAAGAATGCGCAGCATTACGACGCAATGTGGCTCCGTCAACTGTGCATCTCTGCGGATCCGCTGTCGAGGGAGCGTATTGCCCTAGTTACGGTTGCATGCACAGTCGGAAGAATCCAGCCTTACAATTTCGGTTCGGCCAACGTAACCACGTGACGAAGCCAACAACTTTTATGAGGGGCGAAATGTCCAAAAAACACGTTGGGGTAATTAATCATTTTAACTGCTTTGTAAAGCGCAGACCACTTGTTTGTTGAAGAAAAATAATCAACTACCACTCTGATTGTAACACCAAAGGAATGCACATCACGGTAATTTTAGAACAAACTGCTCCGTGTGGACGCGGTGGCAAGGTTTGATGTGTTCTTTTCAAATCACAGAGGCCGTTGACCTGGAACACAACGATATCGGTATTAACTAGGATCTTCTCAAATTAACAACTAGAAAAGTTTAGTTACAGACAATTGCTAGGCGGCGTTTTGGTTTAGTTATCACTCTGGCTGAATTCTTAAAAAATAAAGGTAAGAAAATAATATAACCCAATGCCTGTCATAGCGGTAGTCCTAAATTACCAAACTTTCACTCATGAGGATTTCTTAAAATACGTAGGATGGATTTTAATTCTTCCTGTGTAGTTACAGAGACGAGTAAAGTGGTCTATATAATTAACCGTCCTGTATGAACTGAGTTATTTGTAGTCACTCAGTATGATAAAAGAGAACAGTTACTCTACAACTTGAGTTTTCTGTTTTCCGCAGTAATTGAAGCATTAGGAAACAGAACTGAGTTTTCATGGACATTCAGACTGTGGGTCCATTTCAAACGTCGGTTCACACAGTCGTATAACTTGAAAAACCATTCAACTCCCATGCTCGTCTACTTAGACAGCCTCTCCAAAATCAGTGCCCATACAAGTCCCGAGTCAACACAAAGAAGAGCATGAATTCAATGATTTAACATTCGGCTCCATCATATAAACAAGATTGAGAAATGCTAAGTGAGAATACGATATTGGTAGTCACAGTTATTTTTTGCCGAAAATTTAAAGTGGCGTATTGAATTCCGTTATTTTTCACTGTTCGGATTATGTTAATACACTTGTATTGCTAGCGACTCAAATTGATTTAAAAGCTAATCAGCAAAGGCTTTGTGGATGGGCCACACTGCACACATGAAGTGTTCACCAGTAAATACGTAATTGAGGCTATAGCAAGATGAAGATTACGGAATTGTCCGCATTACATCAAACATCATAAATGTTGATTAAAGCGACCTCTTTGTGCAAATTTCCGCACCCATCGGAGAGGATTGTTTGCCTCGACAAAAAAGTTGCCACCTGGTGTATATAAAGTCGCTTCAGAAACTTGATGGATTGGGAGGTTGGGAAAGGCTAGTTAAACATTGGTAGTCGCGTGATAGGTGCTCGTCTTTAGGCGAATGCAACTCAACTCAGAGACTGTCAGTGATGCCGGAAATTGGTCGCAGTCTTTCATCACGAGATTCTGGCGACTAAATTGCGGTACTCCTCTCAATGCGAGATCGCCACTGACTGGTTCTTTTGTGCTGCCGTGTGACAGCAATCGTTGTGTTATGAGTGGTAGTATAAACCAACAAAGAAAAAGAAGAAATGAGTGCGGTGAATCACATCAGATGTGCCAATTTGCGGTGCCGAAGAGACCGGTGTGAATGCTGATAATTGGACGATAAACACGCAACTGAACATCGTCTTCATTGTCTCAATAATCCTGGTAATTGACTCGATGTGGTGAGAGTCCATTCGTTTACGCGCCCAGTGCCAAGTTAGTGCTAAACAGTCACCGTGTTTCTAGTAGACACCCGGGATAGATAAGCGGATTAAAACATTTAAGTCTTGTTGTTGGCTTAAACGAACGACCAGATATCAACAGTCAAGTGAGAGTGGTCCACTTTGGGGCCAGCGTCTCAACGCTCATTGTTAACTCGCTGCAGTCACTAAATGCTGAAGCAGCTGGTTAACTTACGGGCAATTTCAGGGTTAAGCGCCTGCTGCCACGTTGGGCACCATGACACGTCGAAGCAGGGTGGTGTTTAAGTACTTGAAAGGCCTGATTGCGTAGGTAAGATAACTGGATCACGATTTAAATTGAATCGGGGTGACAATCACTGGAGACATACCGAAACCATTAGTAGCCACTTCATTGTGTACCGATATGCGCATTTCGATGGCAGAGGTAGAGGTAACCTCTGTTATTCAACCTGATACTTTTAGGGCATGGGCTGCATTAGCATCTTTGAAGCAAGGTAGACGCTACTCTGATGTTAAATGTAGCGGTCTGAGGTCTAAAATTCCTAGACAAGTTCCTGATTTAGCCAAATCAGGGTAGAGGAAATTTTTTGAGATGCAGCAATCAAATGTATTCATTTTCATTTCCATTAATAAAAATGGATATTGAGAAGGCGTACTTTGATTAAGTGATAAGAGAGAGCTTTTCAGAGTTCGAAATAGAAATGCCTACTAATCTTGAGCAGCTAAATCACAGGAAGCTGACGTAACTCCTACGTAGTGGGCTATCCCATTCAGCGTATGCGCCCCATCATCACCGATTCATTAAGTTTTACGTTGATTATTGAATTCACCTATGTGTAAATTCAGTAAAGCGGAGAGTAGCACTTTTTGTGGACAACGCTGTTGTTTATTTGTGTCATCAACAACAAAATAAATATTTTGAAATCTGGGTTATGTTGTCAGAATTTTCGTCGACTCGCGAAAGGAGTGTTTATGAATTAGAAGATGCTTTCAGTCTGTGTTGCACATAAAAAATGGCCAAGAATATGCTTGCAGGTGAAATCTTTCACGCCAACCAAACTAGGCGTTATTTTAACTTCTACAATCAATGGGTTGGTGACCATGAAATAAGCCAATTGCTAGCGAGTTTGCAGCACTCTCTGCGGCCAATTAGCACACGCGCAGTAGACGGTACGGGTTTTAGCATCGTGCACGTAGACATCCTGGTTTCACTCGGCTTTCGTAAGACCCGGTGGATAGCCACATCAACGCTAGCGGATCTACCATGGCGAAGGTCTCGATAACCGGATGTTTTAAATGTGTCAAGTATGCGCTCTTTGCGTTCTGTTTAGTGTCCTGGGTGAGTTTCCAATCGCAATGCATCTACTTTTATCGAAACAAATGTCTTCTCAATGTCCAGACGTTCCACTTAGCAAAGAAGATGATTCAGGCTTGCAAAACTAAAGAGAATTCCGAATAAAAGCTTAATTATAAATAGATTGTGTTGTGTAGCCTGTCTAAATCCTGCATCAATTCACACTGTCGCTTTTCTGTCTGTGTAGCGGAGTGGAAGTGCATCTAGGAGTTTGGTGGAGTTGTGCTTACAATAAAGGCAACAAGGCAAAAATATATACTGCTGCAGGTCCACCAATCAAAACCACCTATGAATCAGATCACACCATCTACCTTTTTGAAATAACAGCGTTTGAGCAGTTGTGACATTCACTCTAAGTTTGCTTTCCAGCATTGGCAACAAAACAGTAATCACATGTAAATAATTTAATGACAGAAAAGTATGTCATTTTTAGTACTCCAAGAACGCCTGTACTTCAGTTCCGGTATTTTAAACTGAGAAGGCATATTTAACCAAATCATTGATAAAAAACGGTCCAAATAAATTTTCGTTAGAAAGCAGGCGCGAGTAAGGTAGTAAGAACTGTGTATTTTGTGCTAAGGTAGGAAGTGGGATTAGTGTAATTACTTGAAGAACGGTCTTTTAAAGTGGGATTACATAACCAAAGTCTCAATTTTGCCATATTAAAAACGAATTGAAGATTTAACAAGTTGATTATGAAGTTGAGATCCATTTGGTTTACAGACAGGCACTTAGTAATTTTTAACCATGGAGTGGACAATGCACATTTTATGGTTTATGTTTATTTTGCATTCCAATCTGTTTTTTTTTCACATTTTCGCTGTAATCGTGAGGCAAAACCTAGGCAGACCCAAATTACGCTTCTGAAGAAAGTGAAACCACAGGAGGAATAAGAGTGCTTAATCATGTCTTTACGATGTTGCCCAAGTGACTGGAACGTGAGCTAGTTTAATTGTATCACGCAGGAATTATTGTTGCCGTTAGAAACCATAAAAAATTCACAAAAAATTGATTTGCAATAGGTCCCACTGAGAACTATGCTGACCTACTGCGCCATTCCAAATCCGGCAGCCAGAAATATCAAATGCCTATCATTATCATAACTAAGTGAGGATTTTTGGTTAATTAGATCCGACCTATTTGCGGTTAATTTCTCTAATTTAAATAAACATTGACCAGCGTCCCAGTAAATCACTGGGATTAGGTTTTTAAAACCTTGCACATGACTGTAAAATCGCGTAAAGCTGCTGAAAATCAGCAAAACCTCACAGGAACACCCCTCCGTAACTTGTTGGGGCCCCTACTGTCACCCCTTTATTGGATTCGTACAAGTGCATATTATTACCGAAATCACGAGACATGACTCCTGGGGCAGGGGATTGACTGTAATGTGCAGTTAGAAATCGTGACTGACATCGAGGCTCCAGTTCAAACAAAGGCTAGGAGTTAAGATTACAAAATGCGCATACCAGCAAAATTTGTTGTTGGATAGTTTTTTTGACTTATTCTAATTATTCCTCTAAAATGTCCTAGGGCTAAAGCCTAAACGTTTAATATTTAATCCAACTCAACTTGTTTTGAATGCAAATCCATATTTCCAGCTATTTTTACAACTATTACCCAATGAAATGCATTCACCAAGAATAGAATTGAATGCATTTCAAACGCTTTGTCACAAATGAGAATAACGCCTGTTCGGGGGTTTTTGTGCACAATCCCCGCACATCTCTTAATTAGATGGCGACGAGAGGACACTTGGACGTGGGTGCATTTGTTTGTGGTAGTAATAGGTCAATTGTAGTAGTTTGAAAGGGTCAGCTGCTATTTGCAGGCTACTGTCAACTGAACTGGGAGCTTACTTCAGCGAGGATGTACAAGTTACACGGTACCCGTTCATGTCATTGAAAGATGGGACATGGGCGGGCAGTTGTAAAGGAATGCGATTAATCAGCTTTACCGATCGAGCTCAGCATTGTTTCAATCCATCTACCTGAAGAGGCGAACGTTTCAGTGACTAGTAATTATGACCTTCTAACAAGGGTACTTTAGGTTAGGTATTTTCAAAGTACTTGGTATATCTTGGATGGTTTACGAAGACCTGCATCGCCTTATCGAAGCAAACCATCCTCAAAAACTTTTTAAGGGAAGTAAAAGCAAAGCGCGATTTTATCAAAGTTCACTTACAGTGACGTGGAGTCCTATGATTAAAGCAAAATTCTGTTGTTAAACCAAAAATGAGCTGGTCGATTGGGATGCATGAGGGACTCAACTTAAATCAGTATGGCTACCCAAAACCCGTCTACTCATCTCTTTGTTAATTTTACATCTGTGGTATTGTGCGAAATCCCTATCTGATGATAGAACCATAAAAAATCCGCCCTCAAATTGTGCATTTTTCAATTTAGCATATCTACACCTTTACATGGAATTGATCTGTCAAACTTAGCCATTTGGTAGTGACCGATGGTTTAAATCAGAGCCAAGTCAAGTTCAAGGTATTCGACAATAATAAAGTGTTCATTTGCGTAAAACTTGGGTACTTCATAATAACACGATTTCATATTAACCATGGAAGGAGAGAAGGAGGGAGTACTCTATTCGCATTTATTCAAATGACTCTTTTATAGCTCTGAGTGTGATCTTGGACTATTGTAGTTTAAATTACTAACTTAGGTTGCCTTGGGCCTTTTTAGATTCTTGGCCTTGTGGCATTCATCTGGGGAATTGTGGCTAGAACAACAGGACACTTTGGACCCCTTGAAGCCCACATGCCCACCGTGACTTCCGGTACGTCTGTGGAATTAAATTCACTTTCATTGTCATCTAGGATTCTTTCTACATGTTTTTGGAATTGTAATGGGAAATCACCGTGTTAATAGACACTAAACACTACTTCTAGGTTCCAGTTTCAACCAAGTGGCACTGATTAGGAGTGAAATGTCGTTGTTTAGCTGGACATTAAAACTTAGGCCGGTGATTTGCCTCCTGAATCGTCCGAAGAAGTAAATGGACCAGGAGAAGTGACGAGCTGCTAGATGCGCAAAGATTGCATGTGTCAAAATTTTGATGTTCGAGATGACTTACTACCGTTTCACATGTAAAAATTTTATGTTTGGCTAATCCGTCTTTTTGTTTTAACAAGTTTTGGTAAAGATTAATAGTTTACTCAGTCGGCCACAGGCTATAATATGTTTGGGGCATTACCACTAGCGTTCAGTGTACTAGATGAGATTATTTTCATTTTTCTCCCAAGGCGCAAATTTACTAATTGCTGTCGGATTTATTATAATGTTTGTCGGATTTCTTGGATGCTGCGGGGCTATACGAGAAAGTCAGTTCCTCCTTATGGCTGTAAGTCGATACCAATTTTTTCGCAGATGTGATTTCTCGAACCTATCCACTTTCAAATTAAGCAGTATAAATAGTGTAAACTTAGATTATATGAGATAAATCAACATTTCATTTAATCATTTAAATGTTCAAACTTCTAGTCAACATCCGTACGTTGCGCTTTTATAGTAATTCCTGCCAATAACCAAATTAGTTTTTGGTTAATTATTTGCTTCGACAGTAAGTTTAGGCTGAATGACTTAAAGGTCATGAGGTAAAATCTATTTTTCTAGACATCAAATCCACAAAGTAACCTTGTAGATATTGTGGCAACTAATTTAAACTGCCTTTGCCACCCCAGTTAGCAATTAAATGACTATTTATGGATCCTTTTAGTTTTATTTTCGCTTGTTAAAGTGTTTAATAGGTCATAATTTATTTACAATTTCAGGAATAACATTATAGAATCTATTCTGCCATCTGAAGTGAAAGCCATAACTCAATTTGCAAAAAGTGAATGAACCAAAACTATTAATTCTTTTTAGTTCTACTTCTCCGTATTCATGTGCTTTAGCCTACTTATGGCCGCTGGTCTCTGGGCTGTCGCTTGGCAACCAAGGGTAAGTATTCAGAAATATCCTGTTTTAAACCTTACTAAGATGTGCTGTCCTCTTTCCATGCCTTCAGTTTTTATCACAAGCCAATGAAACCATACTCTGCAGCGGAAACATGTAATTTAATGAAGAGCCGAATCCGTCAGGGTATTGATTTTATCAAGAATCACCACTTACGTATCTGATTGTCCTCAATTATCTGTACTAAATCATTATTTTATGCCTAATAATTAGAAATTCCATTGAGCAACCAGAAGAATCAGTTCTTTCAAATTTATGCCAGCTAGCAGAAAAGCATATTAAGCGTTGATTATTTTTGCCGCCCAAAACTTGTCGCGATTATGAGTTTCGACACAAGCAAGATGGAAAATTATTGGTTTCTGCACTAAATTGCATCGGTTCTAATGGTTTAATTGGGAATCGTGCATTCATAAAACTCCTGCAGTAACCATTATTGTCATGCGCCTTTTAGCGCCTTTTCTGTGCATTTTTAAATAAATCTGACATCCTTAGACTGATACTTCAAAGTGATCCTTAAGGTGCACCATTGTTTTGAGTTAACTGGCTATTTTTGAATTTTTCAAAATAAATTACCCGTGTTCATTTGTTGGCTTAATGAAATTTTGCACAGCTGAAACCCGGGAGTAACCATAAAAGGAAAACCTCATCAACTACCTGGAACAACATTAAAAGGTCTTGTAGTGATTTGAAATTTTTAAACGAAGCTCGAAGTTCTGGAACAAGTCACAGCTGAGCTAACATTTGTGCAGGTTTCGTAAGGTGTGCATTTTGATGAGAAGCATAACAGCGCTTCAAGTGTGTTGTGTTTGTTATTAGAACTAAAGCAGGACATCCTAACTATGTATTGCCGGTAAATACCAAAAATACCGCCGAAGTTCTATTTTTCCATGCATTTTAATTGCTAACCTGATAACAAAGACTGAAATTTGGATACCTCTGCACACAGCCTCAGACAATTTTTAAAATCGATGAACGTCAAGCCAGATGTTGCTTAAACTAATTCTCCCGTTGTGACTGGGACGGCAAACTTGGTGCTGTAGCTGTCTTCCCGGCGCATAAACATGTGTGGGCACGAACACAAAGGTGCCTCCCAGAAATAGGCGGTTGGCAGTGCAGATCGATATCGCCTTTCACCGAAGCCAGCGCCCGCGCCAATGCACAGGCCACGCGTACTTTTTACGGGCTTCGCGGGCGAATGCCCCAGCGGACAACCATCGCGGTTATGTCATGAGTATTTGTGTTTCCTTCTCTTGGGACTGAGATTAAAACCAAAATCCCCATGACCCAACCTATGGATGATGAACATAGCCAATAGATTAATTAATTTTCTGTGTTTGAGAGTTTAATAATAGATGTCTGCCACACATTCTGTTTCCCAACGGACATTACATCATCAATCAACGTGTATAGAATCAAAGTAATGAAATTTTAGGCAACTCGTGTTGGCATAAAAGTAGTTGAGGGTTAGTCTTTATTATCAATGGTGGTTTAAAGATTAGAGTAAGAGAAAGAAAAGGAATTGAAAACAGTTTACACAAAATGTTCAGCCCTTTTAATTGGTTGGTTACATTGTAGTTGCCTATCTACCTTCACAACTCACTTGAAAAGCTGGTGAAGAGCTACAAGACCGATGGCGACCCCGAGGATGTCAATATTCTGAACTTCATTCAAAACAAGGTAACCGAAATTCTGATTTCTTGCCACTGCTTTGTATGTTTTGCTTTTTGCAAAACGGATGTGCACCCGAAGTCCGATTGACCTAAAATGCCATTATTGTATCAAGGATCAACCATTGGACAATTTCCTAACAATTTTTTCTATGATCCAGTTGAGTAGTAATGACTTGTGCTGATTTTCAGCAAAATCTATGAATCTTGGTAAATAAAACCTGTTAGCAACAAACAGTTCAATTAAATAACGCCTGAATAATTGATTGAAGTAGTTGTACAGGAATTTTCGATCGTACTGTACATTTGCTTAAATGTATGTAAACTATCAATGTACCCTCACACACGGGAAGGAGAACGCGTGTTTCTTGTTTTAGGTAACGAATAAGATGAGGTTTGATTGTACCTGCACAACTATTAATGCACAGATTAAGATGTCATGCAAATCTTAGTTGATCCCAACTTACCTTCCGCTGTAGTTTGTCTGCTGTGGTGCTGTAGGCGTAGTCGACTATTCGAATTCTCCAGTGCCCACCAGTTGTGGCTCCAGCCACCAGGAACAGACTCAGCGACCAGTGAGTCATTTTTTTTACATTTTGAATAGTGCCACGTCGCGGGCATTACAAAAACCGCGCAATTGGATTTCACATTAAAGTAACTAATGAAGCATTAATTTTAACCACTAACCTTCTGCAAATCTTGGTATTTAGAAAAAAAATTCTAGTGTTACGTCAGGCATTAAAATGATTGTCAAGTGTGAAAGGGAGAAAGCAACTGAAATTTTGTTATTCTAAATTAACCGAATGTCGTTTATTTGACGTTACTTCCAGTTTATGCATCCTTTCCACAATGTTGGCTTTATCGTAGGATTCAGCAGGACGTCACTAATTGGTGGTTTTGGAGCTACTTCCTTTAAATTACTAAGTTAGCTTATTAATTGCCAAGCTGAATGCCACCCCTTCTGCGTTGGCATATGCTATGGATCACACTGCTTCATGACCTTGGAATGTTCCGGTGTTAGCGTATAACACTATTGCCTTTTCAGTCATTTAGACAGAGGTTTCCACTATTAATCAGTAAATTTTTGTCACAGTTATGAACGATCTACCGAAACAGAAACGGTGGTTCACCAGCTTCGCTGATAAACGTAAATTTTGCTGATTTGGGAATAAATTCAGGCCTGAGCAAACCGCGAAATGCCCAAATTAGATGGTCTGAAAGAATTTGGTGTTGATGGAAGAGTGCGGAGAATTAGGGCTTACTCTACATCTTTGCAGGGGTGCCAATACAAAATCCTGCAGTCTGGACAGGAAAACCTTTCAACTATGACGGGAATCGGCATTGGATTCGCAGCGATCATGGTAAGGCCCTCAAATCGCCGTCTGCTTGCCCTCCGAAACCCTAAGATAAATGGCATTTGGTCAAATGCAAGCATGGCTGTGGCAATTTACCATTCCGAAACGAAATACAGGCTGTTGTACCAGAAAAACAAACACTATTTCCATTGACACAGTAACCAGTGTACGGAACGTAGCAAGAACTGTTTCGAATTAACCGATTATGCGCAAGAGCAGCATTTTCATCCTATTCATAGCCTCGCTGAATATGTCTTTTGAAGGCGGACAACTTGAAGTAAAAATCGAAGATACTTGAAAAAGAACGCACAGTTTCGCCTTAGAATATTACTTAAGCAATTCGAGTACATCTGTTTCACATTAATACTTGGAAGTTCGCTTGTCTTCCCACAGAGTATTAATATATTTAATTAAAAGCACTTTGTATCAGCTCCGTCTAAAGCTGGATGACTTTATCTATCAAAGCAAGCCCCTTCCACAGAGCGGTGAATTAGAAGTACCAATTGTTTAATATCATGGCGAATCTTAACACTGAGCTAAAGAAATTGAATTTCGAAAATGGTTTGTAGTCGTCCTTAGGACGTTCAACCGAAGCTGTAAGCATAGAGACACTAGATGCGAATGTATTTGGGTATGAAAATCCCTCCTGTCAAACACGTAAAACGATTTCGCATATAAATTTTGCTGTTTTGATTCAGAACGCCTTGACACTTAATTGAAAAACATCCGTGCACAATGCGTTAACTAAAATAGGGTTCAGGATGACCTAAGAGTCAACAAAGCTGGACCCTCACACCAAATCAAGTCACGCAAATTTTTCTTCCTAGATTTTTGGAATGGTTTTCTCCCTGATGCTGTGCTGTGCACTACGAGAGATCAACTAAGAAAGCTGCCCTGCACCAACGTATAATCCTGAGATCCTTTTTTTTCGAATGGTGACATCAACTTTTCCAGAGGAAAACGTACAATGCAATTTTTGGACTTGTCTTCCGAATTCCCCACAAGTTAATAGACCCTGCTTTGCAACAACTCTCCTGTAAACTTGCATTTATCGAAGTGTTTAACTTTGTTTTTTTCTATTCTGGCCCTTAAGTTGCCATTGAAGTTGCGAAAACAGAGCCCTTTTGTGGGGTGTCAGTCCTTTATTTCTTTTACACTCAGAGACACAAGCACATTTCACAAATTAACTTCACGAGCACCCTACTCGGATTCGTAGCAAAGAAACCCACATCGAAGTTCTCAGAAGCATTGTTGTGTTTTGGCGGCAAACGGCATGGGCTAAAATCTTTGAATGACGCATTCGCATACTAACAACTCCTTAAACCTATTTTTTTCAACAGCCGTTGAGCAAAACGCATCACAACCTTGACAGTTTCTTGATTTAAACGTACAGACTTGAGCCAAATAGACTTTAGATGAACGCTGAGATTCCCGAGCTTGATGATCGAAGTCATCTACCTGTATTCTCCGGGAATAGTAAATGGTCAGTTCTATGAAGCGTTCGTAATTTATCTTTCGTAGACATGGGAGTTCAACGTGTCAAATGTCTGCGGCATGTTAGGGTGTAGCATGGCTGCTAAACAAGCAATTCCAAAGAACGCATAAAGCTTAAAAGATTGTATACATACATTTTAAAAGAATCCCCACTAGTCAATTTATTGAACAAATTACTCCTAGGAAATGCTCTGGATCGTACTTGTAATCGATTAATACAAATAAAACAACAAAAGAACAATCGATCTGTTTTAAAGTATAATTACACTGGAGTAATCTACATTCGCACGGCACTATTATTCGCAAAACCGACGTTTTTGTCGCTCGCTCGTGTCCATTCCATTTCACTGATGGAATCGACCACACCCACCCATTTCAATCGTACTTAAGCCTTACCCCATCAATCAAAGTCAGCTTATCAGATCACTCATTTTTATGTCTCGACACGTAATAACATCTAATTCATGAAACTCTCCATGACAGAAATCCATAGTAGAGACTAGATAGATATAAATGTACAAAATTAGTAGCATGCTTCCAGAACCAGGGGTCCTCATTAACATATCCAGTTATAAGTTAAAGTAGGTAGCTCCACGCTTGTGAATTAAATGTCACCAGACCCATGATAAATAGAACCTAACAAAAAGTGTACCCTAAAGTATTCTTTTGATCTAGAATCTGGGAAAGATCGGTTTTTCTACGCATCCTAATTTGAACACTGTCTTCCAAAAAAAATGTTTTGCCTCCTCAAGCGTTCCGCTCATGTTTGTATGATAACGTCTTTATAGAACATCTTTTCGAAGAATGTCGCATTAGCAGCGGCAAAAAGATTCTGTTACTTGGACGTGGTGTTTTCTCACTCCACGAAAATTTAAACGTTATTTCGTTAAATTCTGCTCACTGAATTGTTGGTAATACTTCATACGTTAGTGGGAAAATTGTTGTAGACGTTTTACGCAATGCTAAGGGTTGCATTTACCTGGTAACAACGGGGCTCTGAAAACGTGAAAACAGGAATCCCGCCTCCTTTGAAGTAAAGGTTACTTGATTAAATCTGGCCGTTAACACTCACTGACTAGTTGTCTGTCACCTAGCTGTCCAATTTATTGATCTATCCTCAATTCTTGTTCGATCCCATCTCAAATCAAACAGTTGCACGAAATGAAATTGCACTATTTGGTTACCCAGGGGAAATTTTCTTGGATAAGAGGTACATCATTGTCAAAATTGTGTTCAAACCAAGTCACCTAGTGTTGTACCTTGATTTAGTTAAACTCCAAAATATAGAATTTTCTTACTTCTGCTCATCATTCGTTCACCTAAGCTTCTGTAGTCTTGCAATTATAAAGGAATAGTTAAGACCTTACAAGAGTTTCAGTACCATCTGTAATACTGTAACACAACCACCTCGGCGAGCACGCACCTTTAGCCCCTTGCCCTCGCCTTCCCCTCCCCCACCGCACTCCCTACATGTCACCGTATAGCGATCCTCACGCCAACACCTCTCTCGACAGACCCGGCAAATCAAGTTTCCCTTCACACTTTGTCCTTTTAGTCACCATGTCCTACCCAAGTCCTTTGCCACTGTACTCAGAAAATGCAATTACAGGCCGTGGTTGCTACACTCGTTCTCATGTCATTTTCAGTTAAATGGATAATCACGATTCGCCTTTTGATGCTGATTACTCCACACGCCCGACTCGCATGCCTCAGCATTAAAATGGGCAGACTCCTAATCTGTGTTTGTCGCGACCTTGCGTTCACAACCAACCATGATCGATTTTAGGTAATCTTGTTTTCATAAAACCCATCTCGTTGCCCGGAACGGTGTTTATTACTGTTTTACTTGTGATCCAAATTTTGTGTCTGTTCAAGTCCTTTAAATTGAAGTTATTTTTTGAGGCGAAATTATATTCAGGTATATCCAACCACTACTTAATGGTTATTGACTCTCCTCGATTTCTACGTTCGGTTCTACTAAATCCCGTGGTTATGATCACTAACTTGTTATTATAAGCAACTTTTACGTGTCCTTCATGCAAAAATTTTGACTAGAAGCTTAAGACCACGTAGTGTGTTCGATTTTTCACTAATTTAAGCGCTTACTATGACAAATGGGGTGTGCATTGACGAGTGCCTCATATCTGTCAAGGTTTTTTACCCCTGCCACCTTTGAATCAAGATCACCAGCCAGTACCACATTCAGCAAAGCCACTACAGTGGAGTGAAACCCTCTTTTAAAGCCACTATTAGTTTCCAATGGCTGCTGATAATGTGATACTGTCTAATCAGTAGATGAAATTAATTCGCCTACTTCCTGGGCCACTCCGAATAGGTTGCAAACGGTAGCATCTGGGTCCCTCTGTCCACATTTAAATTGGCAATAATTTCTCAGTGCTTTTGTGCATAATCAGTATAATGTACCCTGTCAAGTGTTTCCAATGCTCTCGTTTGAAAATGCCAAAAGCCTAAAATACGTTCTGATCCGGTGATCCGACACACCAAGCTTGTTCTCCTGTGGTGTACATTTGATAGTCACCTGTAGGTACTTTCTTAAACACTGGTGGACTTGGCCTACGACGTGGTAGTAGCACATCATAGTAGTTAATAGCTGGCGTCATAGTCCCGGTGTTGGTATTATCCGAATAAGTCCTCGAATCTATGGTGATAGGGTTTCGGATAATAAATGGTTAAAATGAGTTATGGTATGCATAGGTGGCGAAACAGGTAGGCCACACCTCTGCTGACCTCAATGTCTCATCAGAGCTTTCTCTACAAAATCATCGGCGTGCATGTCCAAATGTGCAGCATCAATGTACTTGTAAACGTGATGTTGGAAAAGTGACTAGACGACTTCTTATTTACACAAAAATGCATAGTATTCTTGTCTAGATCTTTGGTACACCATTACGATTTCGTTAAAAAACCTTCATGCCATTATGAAAGTGTTTTCCAATAAGGAAGAGGACATAAATAAACTTTAATGTTCTCACAATTTTTTGTATTTCCAAAAAAAGGGGATCAGCACCCATTGAGTGGCGCGAATTCCACGGCCATCAACTCCCAAATAAGCCATTACCTTATGTTTCGTTAATGGGGCCTCAGATGAATCTGACAACAATATCCATGACTCGCCTCATGATGAATTGGGACTTATAGTTAGCGCTATACCATATCAACAGGTTCGTCATGACGAATTTGTTTGCAGCACTGAGGTCTGTATTTGCATCCAATCTGCTCGCACAATTACCCTGGCTGCATCATTTTGAAAAGGCCACTTATGGAGGACACTCTAGTCACACAATACCACACATTGACAACTTTTCCTTCAGCGTTAATCCTTCTCAAATGATTAGACACATATCACTCAAAACGCATAATCAGAGCACTGGGCCGTACCCCATGTCTCTGTGCTGGGACAGTAGTGACTCATCTTGGACGTGGAGTAGCATACTCAAGGTGGGAGCGTTTTCGTGTTGCTGGCTTACATAACAATTTAAAAATCCTGTACTTTGATACTTACAATTGCACTTTTTGAGACATTATAGCCTTTCACTTACATCTCCTTGGATTATTTGTACGTAAAGCATCAAATTATGCAAATTTTAAACCTTCTTTCTTTTAATTTCTTTTGTGGCAAACATTTTTATTCATTTACTGTAAGAATGTTGTTTCTAATTTTAATATGAACAGATGCAACATTTCCCATTGGCATCATGTTAAGAGAGTGGCATTTGAATTCCGTCCTATTTGTGGTCGGTCCGATTGTCCACTATGTTATAGCAGGTGACACCTGGCCATTCCAGTTTCACTACTTTCCGCAACGACATCTAGGTGGGAACGTCGTAGTCTGGTATTTCAAATGTATCCAAGCCACCTAGAATCGTTCCTAAATAATATTTTGGCACTACTGAAAAACAACAGCTGGCATTTTAGAATTTTGTGGTTTTTTGACATCACTTGTGAAAGAAATTTATTCAGATGTAACGCCTTTGATTGGCTGTAATTATTTTTACAAAACGCAGTGAAAGATAAATTCATTCCACATTCTTTTATTGATATCGCAAGTGAATAAGCCGACGATTCTTAATTGCGTAGGACTAGATTTAAAGCATAAATGGCAAGTCAATGTTGTAGTCACCGCAACCGACGTACAGGCTCCCATATACGGATTTTTCTGGTACAAGATAGAAAATATAGCCTAGCCACAGAAGGCTTTTTAGATAAACAACTGTGTTTCCTCGTTCATGCTGAATCAACCAGCAACCTAAAAACAGGATACGTTATAAGGCATGTCAAAAATACATAATCAGTGGTATTATTAACACATTATATTTGCTCGTTCAAATTAAGCCTATTTGAAGGCTGATTGCTGAAAGCGCTGAAATTCATAGTGGAAGCGCTTTTAAGAATTGTAAGTTAATTGCTTTCAATATTCAAAAAAAAATTTGAAAGCAGATAGCTTTAAATGGCTATCAATGTTTCATAATTGTTTATAGATTTAGTCCACTATTTCTGCACTTGTTTAGCTTTATATTTTGTTAACGTTAATGTGCATAAAACGGACAAGATACTCCTTAGGCTTTGTTAACCTTCTACAGCCCATGAAGTTGGCGAAATACTTGCAGAAATAAGCGAAACTGAATGAACTCTTATGATCTAAATAAACGGATACTAAAGTGAAAAAGTCTACCACAAGTCTTGGTTGTGAAATTCAAAACCAAATATTTTCAGTACATATATAAACACAATTCCACTGGTTTTAAAGAAGCAAGTGACTTTTCACGCTCTTCACATATCTTGATGTTTCAAGATGATACACTTACAAGTAACTAAAATTCAAAGGAAGTATCCAACCCAGCACTAGGCATAAGAACCCTCTAAATAAAAACCTTTTAAAACAAATTTTTTATTAGTCTTATAAAAATTATCGGTAGAAATGTAATCAAAATTGTTTCATATTGTAAAAATCACAACTTATGGTCTGCCAGGCTCTAAGATCTGTGCTGCATCTAAGTTTGCCGCTCATAAAACTAAATTTTATTAAAATGCTTCATTTTTTACCAAAAATGTCCTACTTTTTTGTACTTTATATCTTGGAAGCAAATTCTGAGTGGACAAAAGTGATTAACAGGTTGTTTTTGCATGAAGTTCAGCCAGCTGTATTTTCTAATTAAGCCTTAAGGGAGATAGGTCTTAAACCATGTTTGCATATATGTTTTAAATAATTACCGTTTGGAGTGTCATTCTCAATTGTATTCAGGAAGTCTACCGCCTTGTCCAGCTTAATTCGCTCTTCTAGGGGCTTGTGGGGGTATTTTACAGGGTCTCGGAAGTGTAAATAAGATGAAAGCTTCGATGCCTCTGCCAATGTTAGACCTAATAAATCCGTGAAAACTATACTAAAATCAGTGCCTTCATAATTTTTATTTCTTATTATTTGGTCGTTTGGTAAGCGAATAAAAGCACCGCGGGGAATGATACGGACGGCCTTGTCAATCCTTTTAATGACAGCAGCCAGTCTATCTTCTTCCTTCATGAGGATCTGAGATAGGTAAGACTAATTTCAGTGTTTACCAATGTCTCCTTATTAACAATCTCTTCATCATTAAAGTATTGTGAAAGTTCAATGTGACGGAATTCGAATTGTGGATCCCCAGTAAACCGCATTTTAAAATATTCGGACTTTTGTATGTCGTCCTTACTTGGAACAGGTAACAATCCCCAACTTATACAGTCTTTACTAATATGGTAACAATGGTATAAAAATGGTCACCTGTAAAGTGTTTTGACATCGTTCATATAATCTTTTCCAATGCCTTGGGCAATGTAGTAGTCACCATTAATACCCTTTATAATTCCCCAGAAATTTACGACCACAAATTTTTGCTCATATCTGAGAAGTGTTAAAGATGTTTGCAACGATCCCTTTTGCTCAGGTGTCAAAACTATCCCACAGGCGCCCAAATAGTCGAGCTTAATATGCAAGTCCGTGGAATCCATGCTAATTTTATTTCCCACTTCAACCTGTTGCTAGGTGAATGAGGTCAAGCAGCACCGTCACTAAAAAAAAGAACAAAAGCGCCCACTTAAGTTCAAAGCTCCTTCATAATCATGCTAAAAAAATTAATCTTGCTTTAAATACAATTATTAGCTATTTGGACCCAAATCTCTTCTACGCGTAAAGAAATGCTATCACGCCACAAAAAGAATCCGGAGCAGTAATTGAACCATTTTGGTAAGCTTTGCCCCTCCTATTACTTCAAGAAGTAGAACCCCACTTACCACATAAATATAAAGATATTTTATTTATTTATATACATCTCAGTGCCTAATAGACTAAGCCCTTCATTTACCAGACCTGAGAAATACTCATGTCCAGATAGGTTGCCCACAGGAATACTCCAGCTTATTTATTTTATCGTAACTTCCTTGTGATCAAATACATAATTATTTAAAAATCCTTTGCGGACCTAAACATTTTTAAAGCATCAACGCAACATAGCTAAATGCCAAGATACACAATACAAGGATACATAATAGATTATTAAATCAATACTAGAAAGTGATTTTGGACTGTGGGTGAGAAATGTCCTAATTTCATTTTAAAAAACTGTGAATAAAACCGGAAGGCCTGAAAAATTCAGCTTTCTTTCGTGCGTTGATTGAAGACCCTACTGAGTCCCTACCAGGTCTATTCAGGAGTAATTTTAAAATACTGGATTTCAAGGCACTTAAGAGATTAATAAAGTAGAAACTTCAGTCATATTGCAAAATCCATAATATTTTCAGCCAATATTATAGAGCAGATTCAAATAGTTAATTTTCCAAGGCTTTGAAAAGAAATTTAAAGAAATTACATCAGAATATATCCATCTTTGCTTGACATTTGAGATGAGTTTTAAACTTATTTTATTCGATTAATTCTTTTTTGTAGACAGGTGAGTAGACTGTTTAAACTCACTATAGCTAAAAATAAGCGACATTGATATTTTTTCCTAAATGGTTTGCATAACAGATTACAGGAAGCAACATTACAAAAGTATCAATGTGGTCGAAGTGCAAATGGATAATCAAACGAGAATTTTAAATTATTTTAGTTAGAAATAACTGATCTTATGAAATCATTATTATCTTTGCCATATTATAGGCAATTGCGAGGAACTTTAAATACAGTTTATGCAGACCTTGAGATTGTAAAAAAATAACCTCAATACACAATTGGTTTGGTAAAAAGTGGATTATTTGGTTTTTATTGCGAGCAATTTATAGGACAGTGTGACTGGCTAGACGACTGTGTAAAAACATCTAAGATTCACGAAGAAATCTGGAAAAGGGGCACTCAAGCAACATAAATTCGTTTATTTCGAACTGAGAATCAGGTCCTATTTGTCAAATTGTCGAAAAAAATTTCATCATCTTATGACTATAGGAATGTTAAATGAGCATTAACGTAAAAAAATCTAGATTATCTGCCATCCTTAAGCACACTTGCATAAAATTTGGAGAAAATAAACAAATTTGGGCCAACTCAAGCACAATGATTGAGTTGGTGATTTCCCTTTCTGGTGTGACCGCCTTAGTTGTTTAACTGGAATTTAGGCAACCTCCAGGTATACGGGGTTGTGAAGGTGTATAAAATATGTAGGAATGGTCCAAAACTAGGAAAATGGGTGATATCTTGACTTGAGTTGTGAAAACCTGGTGAACACTGTCTTGGCCTTCATGACAAGACCTGCAGTTAGTGCCAAGTAATGCGAGCAAAACTATTTGTAAAAGGAATGATGGGTTACGCCAAGCTGCAGCTCGAAATAGAACTCAACTGTTAACGAAAATCGAGTCTTGGTGGCCCAATTTAGAGATGTGTGAAAAAAACACATAAGCACTAATACCGCCGTAGTTAATAGCACGTTACCTGTTTAAGCATCGTTATTTGAAATCTGTTTGCTGAAGAGGGGAATGGTGTTGACGACAGTGTCTAAATCTACCGGGAGCTACTTGGCTGCTGTTTCTGTTCAAGCAGACCTGTTCGGCCACATTTCCACCTAAGTATAATAAGAATACGGAGAACCGTGGTTCCCTATAAAGTCTTTTATTGTAAATTGGTTTTGTTAGTAATTCAGTCCAGATAGGTGATAATAAGTTTCGTTATCCGCCTTTTGTCCCGATTTCTTTGAGTTATACATTTGAAGGTCCCATGCTATTTAACGACCAGCTTAAATTGGATTCAAAGTTAGTTGAAAGAGTACAGATCCATAAACTAACACCACAGTAGGAACAGTGAGTTTGCCTGAATCCTGTTACCAAAAAACCTAGTAGTATTAATTTTCCATTTTCGATTTTTTCTCCACGTCATTTCAGCTAACACCATTCATTTCGACTAAACTTGCAGAGCCAGACTTACAACATAAACAAAATATAACTAATTGTCAAAAACCATTAAAGTATTGAATTTATTCACCTAGTTTTTTCTAAAGGGTTATGTTGTTTCATTACATTTCATGAAACTGCTTAAGGCAATGTCACTTTTTTGCAGACATTGAAGAAGCAATTTTTTTAGAAACACATCCTCTGGCTGCAATATTGGTGTTGCTGACAGTCACACTCGGTAAGCTGAAATTGTTTTGTGGCAAGTAAATTTTAAGTTGCCTTAGGAAACCAATAACTTGAGACTTTCCCTATTTTTTTACGAGAAGTGCGTTTTCTTTTAGATTAAATTAAATGCTTGGATGTTTGTGATAGAATACAACAATTTGAATTGCAACTCCGGACCTTGATGACATGTGTGAATGACATTATGGTGCTATTGTGAAGGTTGAAGGACGTTGTATTACAAATTTGGGCGTTCTTGTGATGGGTTCTAATTTTTCTCAATTATATTTGCACAATAAAAAGAAGGTCGTTGTGAAAGGAAAAGCTGGCCATTATTCTTGGTATGGATTTTTTTGCTAACTTCGTAGGGAAACACGAAATAAGGTAGAATCAGACAATTCTACAATCGCTGATCGTGTCGGTACTATATGTGGAAGATTGCCTGGAACGATTAATGGACAGCAGTTTAGAATCCGGAATTGTAAGGTATGGCCTATTGTGTGATTACCTCAGGACGTCTTTATTTACGTATATAATCATGTAAACACTGTAACTGTCGACGACTGCGTAAACTGTACGGTTGTAATTGGAGCTGTCCAGACTAGGTATATTCACTTTATGTCTACTTTCTTAAGTCTATTTATTCGGGATTGTGAGGATTGCAATGTTCTGGCTGCTTGTAAACAATATCGTATCCGGGGTTGCAAAAATATTGCATCATTCGTTGCTTGTGGGTCTGAGCCAATTATCGAATCCAGCAGTTCAATACATTTCGCACCATTCCAGTTATTTTACCCCGAACTGATAGGTAATATGTGCTTTATTTGACTTTCCGGACTTAGCTGTTTTCATTCTTGTTTGGATCCGAAACGTCTTTTCACTTTGCTCTTTTTGCACACGTACTCTAGTTAATTACACTGGGATTTTGTCTCCTATGTAATTTATATTGATTGCTTTGTGGAATCTAAATAAAACAAACTGAAACCCTTTAGGATTAGGGTTCATTTATCTTTTTCCTATTTCCTGGGAATCTGTGATTCAACTTATTCTCACATTTACAGAATCATAAGCCCTTTCGACTGGCACGTGTTGGTTTCAGAAGTTGCAGGTTGGCTTCAAATTTCCGATTTCAACTGTTTTTTTTTACTTCTTCCGTTATTTTATAAACTTTACTTGGAGCTAAACTGCCACCTGAATTGTGTTTTGCCGCAAACTCTCTTGTCACTTTCGTGCACTTATGTAGTCAAAATTGCCTTTCAAGAAAGACGTTTAAAGGTACTTAACCAAAATCTAACCATTTATTTTTATTTAAATGTTTTTTTATAGACCAGTTTAAAGCTGCTGGATTGAACCCATTCAATTGCTCTTACTCATCCGTTCACGATTTCACACCCAAGGCGACTGCTTCCCCCAACTATGACTTTTTTCCAACATCAGAAGACATAGCAAAGCGCATTCTTTTGCCGAACGACCTCGCATCTAAATTCAGCTTGTCCTCTGCTCGCGAAAATGCGGGTTTGTCTTTTATATAATGTGTCCTGTTTAAAAATCCACTCTTCTATCGTTTTCGTTTGACTTAACTGTCCTTTAGTCTTCAGCCTCATTAATAAGTAAAGTAGTTATCAGTCTCTATAATGACGCGTTTATTTGTTTCTTTACGATAAATCCTAGCCCATTTGAATTCAATCAGCTCACCTGCCTGTTAACAAGTTTCTACTGGGTTACATTGGCTGTAGTTCTGGAAGTCTTTTGTGCAGAGAACTTATCCCTTTCTAATGCATTACTGTTGGTTATTCTTTAGCTTTGAATCGTTGTGTCTTATCTTAGGGTTATAAGCCACCTATAAAAGCAATCAAGCTTCGTAACTACGCTGGCAAATTATAGGCGGATTTCCTCTGCTACCAGAGACGGTGGAGCCTTTTTAAACTACCAGTCATGTCTTTACTACAAAAATTTCCGGCATTCGTTTAAAGTGGTAAAAAGTGTGAATAAGCTTGATCTCATTCTGATATTTGCAGTAATAATAGACTTACTTTCGCTTATCAGTAGCATTTATGGTCGTGAAATGTCAGATTGGACAACTATGTTAAATGTATTGGCCCATTCCGTGCTTGCTTACGGAACAGGCCAACATTCATTTGAAGCTATTTCCCATTATTTTCTCCACTTCAATAATTTCAGAAACGGTTCAAATTAGCCTTTATTGGTGTATTTGAGAACAATTCCATGAATGCGGTCGCTCATCTGTCGATTTAAAATTACACCGATTCCGTTCATGGTGCCTGTGCTTGCTTCAGATGTCCCATGGTTTTTTTGAAAGTGATAAGTAATATTTATTGCTATGGTTTACATGCGCATACTTATTTACGCTTGTTTTACTTGCCGTCTGGTTTCTATAACTGGAACAACTTCCCCCTTTCACAGCTCCCAGTTCTCTATTAAACACCGTGGATTACTTAAATTAGGCTTGGGAAATCATCCAAGTATTTAAAGCTCTTAGTTGGCTTCACTATAATTTAATGGTACTAAGGAGTGGAGGCACAAAATAAGCCTATTAGGTCGACTTCGTAGGTGCCTGTTGCCATCAAAGGGGTGTAACTGCACTCCAGTAATGGACCGACTGCACTGCGAGTTCCTGTCTCTCTGTGATGATGCTTCTGGTCCAATTTATTGACCTTGCTGTCTCCTGTTTGTCGTTTAAATCGCCCCCCCCCTCCAATGCTCAATCTACCTCCCTTTCAGTGCTTGTCTTGATGTGCGCTTTTCACGCCTAATTTAGATGACTACGGTCGTTTAGACGAGTTCCAGTTGACATGCTGTACTCACACAATCTGTTTTTTTTGTACCCAAGAGCTTGAGCCAAGTGAATTACTGGATCAACTCAAGGCTACGCGTGCTACGCTAGATCCAGACCTTTCGATTGTACCGACTGTCTTCGCGGCCTTGTTAATTGACCATGCAAGAACAACCGGGGATTTCGCCTTAATTGGACTCTTCTACCACTCGGGTGTCGAGGATAATGCAAGGGCACTCATTAAAACCCTCTTGTCGCAGTCAGTGAGTTCTTTGCGCAATTTATATGTATACGAGAGAAACTTAGCATCTTCGAATTTTCACAAAACATGGGTTATCAATGAGTAGACTATTCAACTGTACTTCGCCACGGGAGTTTACGAAAGTATCTACCTTTGAGCCATAGCAGTAATATGACCTGCATTCGTGCACTACGAACGTCTACTGTTGGTTACGTTTGTACAGAAAAGTAGCCTCCTGGAACTGGCCTCACGAAATTTCCACAGACCATGAATCGGTGTGTTCGCTTGTCCTGTTTTATGAGTTTGGCCCGACCTTGACTTGAACCCGACACTTTCACTGAGGGGTGTTTGTGGAATTACAATTCGTTGTTTTTAAAAGTATTAGCGAAACCCACCCGAGGGCATGGCGATTTAAAATGGTGTGGATCCAATTCGCGTGATTTTCGGCCTGCACATTCCACATCAATGTTGTGGTTAGTAGTCTCACAAAAAGCCTCTACTCCCACACCTCCCCTGCCCACAGATTCTGATGGACTTATCGATTGTGCCACGTCTGGTCAGTCCACTAAGCATCTGTTTGGCGCGTGTGTGTGTGTGCGCGCGCGCTTATCTCAAGGTCATAGTGCAGCCTTTAAAAGTTCACGTTCCATATTCTCATTCCTAAATTTTCTGTCGGCCTAGTTCTTTCTTTTCGGTACCCCTGAGAAATCTCGTACACGGTATCACGTCATAGTTTGCGGTTTAAAAACGCAGTATGCTTTCTATTCCCAAGTACAACCTCACGCCAGCTGCTCTGCAGTACCCAAAACTCTAATGGCCGACAAGCAGACACAGATTTACCTGTTACTCTAGCTTGTCATGTCTTTACTACGTTATTCTACTCTATAGCTTCTCCGTCACTTTCGTGTCGCTTTAGGGTCTTACTTGGGCCTAACCGTCCTTCTTCACTACCTATTTTTTACTTGAAATTCTGAACCGTTTCGTGCACACCTCTTCCCCTTAATTTGTTGTTACCTCAGTCAAGTCTTTTTTTGTGCAGGTTTTCTTAGTAAGGACGCGGTGTGCCAAATATTCTCCTGAAGACCTTACTCGAATCTTCGGTGATTCAACACTGGCTGCCCATTCAAGGCTTGGTAAGACTTCCCCACTGTTTCCTAACTTGTGCTTTTCTCCTGCACTTTTCTGTGGAAAACCTCACGCAAATGGTTTCAGATTGTACTCTCACCTGCAAATCGGGTCGTTAGTTGTGCACTCATTGACACCTGCTAAAGCGATTCAGCCTTTAGGCAGGCTGGTTTTCCCCTGTTTAGTTGTTGAACTCTGCTGCCTTCGGCGTAAATGGCGTGAACTTTCAATTCGTGTATTATTTCACAACTAGTTACGGATGTGCTCTGGCTCTAGTGTGGCACAGTCACGACCCCTGTGTAACTCGCTAAAATCGTCCTTTTAGTTTGTTTTCTAATTTGCTGAATCAAACTTCCTTTAATACGAACCCCTTTTCCCCTAATTGTTTAATTGACATGCCTTACCCCATGTGTCATATGTGAGTGAGAGGATGCCATTCTCCGGACCCCATGCAACACCACATTATCAACCCCCCTCCCCCTCAAGCACGAATCTCAAGTCCCGTCCCGTCGTTCTTGGGGCCCAGGTCACACGTTAACGTCAACTTGATAAAACACGTTCGTTCAGTGGAGTCCAATCAATTGCCATGGTAACTTATTGAATTAGCAGAGGCTTATGCTTGCGCGATTCAAGCTAACTCGGCCAAAGTGTTTTCGCTAGAGGTGATACTCGGCCCTATAGTCGTTGGCCCTTCGACAACGCACGGTGACATTAGAAGCTCGGTGTCGCTCTAAGCCACCACTGTCCTTTCGGAAATCTTGTTGCGTGGACCTCTGATGTGCACAGCAAACCGAATTCGCTCGCGTGCTTCACAATAACTCCACCCTTTTCGGTAGAGGGTTTAACAAATTGGACAGCGTTATCTACCCCAAGAATGGCCAAATGTCTCGTCATTGCGCGCCTAAACAAGAGACCAGCCCCTCCAGCCATCTTTTTGTGCGTGGGGTTGGTTGGTTGGGGGGTGGGGTGGGGTGGGGTGGAGGGTTGTCTTGACATCCTGTTCACACTCCTGTTTCAACAGGCACAGCCGGTGTGCGCTAGGACCCCATGTGACTACTGTTTTGTTTAGAATGTTTAGCTGTTTTACGTCGTGGTGATTGTCGTCCCGTGGTTCTAAGGTCTTTTTGAACATCTGCGCAGTCCAAATTCTAAACCACGTCCTAATCACAGTTTGATGGCCTAAAAGTATAATATGCTGCTATTCCGAGTTGCCACTTGCGGTGTTTTGAACTACAAGATACCTCAGAAAGCCGGGTTGGCATTAGCGCTGCCATTTGAGGCGCTTAGAGAACAGTTTTTTTCATGGGTTTGCCTCGTGGGCCATCTGTTCGACCTCAGGTGTACCAGACTATATTGATCACGCCGCAGTAAGCAGACTAAATACGTGAGTTTGTCCAGTTCTTTTACTCGGTCTTAACTTACACAAACTTGCTGAGCTTGGGTGAAACGATGTGGTCCTTCCACCTGGTAATATAGACACATATAGCTCTTTGTGAAATCGGAACCATGTTTGTTCACACTACTGAAACAGTCTCACATTAGGTGGTCATGGGGATTCGTCTTAACGAGTTCTAACGATTCCCGGTTTCTTCCCCTATTATTCTAGATCAGACACGTGTGTTGGGGTTTCTTGCGATTCAATATTTGAATTCTGTAGTTCTGATCCGTCTGTTTTGATGCCGTGGCTAGTGTTAGGCTCTCATCTTTATGTTCGTGAAGTACCGGTAGACACAATGAGCAGGATCATACCTTTTTTCTATAGTTAAAACCCCCAACTGGTTCGTGGCACTGTCGAATGCGTCAATGTCTCAAATGCACTTGGATTCCCACGTTTTTACAAGTCTACACACTAATCTGAAAATCTTATTGTGAAACGTGACATTTTGTTTGCGGATTTCCTTATTTACACTGCAAAGGAGCCTCTTTTTATGTGCTTAATCGGAAAGCCTAGAGCAGAGTGGTACTTGAGTGGATATGGCACTTGCGACAAATCCGCAGTCGTCCCCAGACAATTTGAGTGCACCTCAGAGAATTCCTTTTGTCCGTGGCATCGAGCAGTGGACTATGAGCGGTCGCTGCGTTGGGCATGCGCCATTTCCATTACGCGACAAACAGGCTTTCTCCGCTACACACCTTACATTTCTTACACCAAATATGTTCAATACTTCACGAAACTTGGTAGGACTGACAACTCAATCAAGTTTGTGCCAGATCATTTAATTTTATCTGGGATGGGTACGGGGAATCTTTGTCAGATTTCATACCAACTAGGTTTGTGATGGGATTAACGTAATATGCTTGCCTGTGTTTTATGTTTGCATTTTCGTGTTCCCGTCAGTCTGGACTTTTGAGGTAGCTCAAGCAGTCGAAACATGGGTTACCTAAGTTAGCTCACCCGTGTACTGTGTAGTGCTTTGTTAGACACTTACCTTTGAGCCGCAAGGTCTTCCGTCGGCGTATTCTCTCAAGCGGTCGATCGCGGCCACTTCATTTGATGACGACGTTACGCCTTAGACTTCAGTGTGACCTTCAAACTGGACCATTTTGTTTGATTTCAGCCCCTTTGGGTGTGCAAGATTTGTTGGTCACGCTCTATCACCACCGAGAGAGATTCAAAATTAAGTCACTCCGATAACCCAATAGAACACGGCGTAGGCCCAAGTGGCTATTTCCGTCAGGATACCAGCACGCCATTAGTCCGTAACGTACGCCCTTTTTACGGACGCGTAAATTAGTTGATGAATTAATGAACCGTTCCGAATCAAATACCTTGGGTCGGCGGCTAAACTAGACTACAAGTTAATTTACATTTCGTACCCAGCATGACAGTAACAGACGACCCAGATTTTGTGATTGAATTTACAATTGCGGCCAAAATTCGTCTGTCGATTCGGGCACCCCTGAAGACATCGCCTTGCACGCTGACTTTACGGATCCAACCCGCAATGGTGATCAAGTCATTACGCACGATTTGTTGTCGCATTCTGCACTGGGTTGCTAAGGCAACGACCCTCAGCCTGTAGAGAGGCTAGCCACAGCGTCGCAGCCGCCCCCTTGCGTCCCGGCCGTGTGCACACGGCGTGTGGAATATGTGTGTGTGTTTGCGTGAACAGCGTGGCATACGCGACCCCCGCTTCCAGGCTTGTTGACATGCTGTCCCACTCGTTCAAACTTGACTTTCGAACCATAAATAACGCATTAGCACCATTGGAGGCCAGTGCCCACCTAACCAGCGGGCCTTGAAGCCAGCTGCGGGCATTTTTCTGACCCAAGGTGTTTGGCATTTGAATTAGCACCCTGCGATGTTCGCCTGTCTCTTTTGTTCTGGTCTTAAAAATGAGGAGTCATCGGGTGCTTTTTGTTGTGGATCAGGTTGGTTCAAAATTAGTGTCCGCCTACAAGAAGCAAGCAAGCACTTACCCGTGAACATGACATCCGTTGAAATGGTCATAAATTAGTTAATATGAATTCTCAAACCATACTCAAGCACACAATTCTAATTAATGCTGTCTAGAACGTGTTAGAAACGGACATTGCTCTTACGCCAATCTGAAGCTTTCTGTCGTTGTGCTTAAACGAACGCGGACTGCATGGTGGTAATTTTGCTACTAGCCATGCCCAGCACCTACTCTGGCTCACCGTTTGAATTGCATTTATCCCAAGTATTTGTTCCTCACCACAACTTCCCGCCATGGCTCCAATGGACCATGAGCCTTTGGGTGCCACTTGTGTGCAAGAATCTTCAAATGTATATTACCTTTCTTAGGTTTTTTTACTGCTGCAAGTGAATCAAAATTCTACTGAGAAACCGCTCCTTTGACATAAATCCCACCCCGATGCCTCCGGAGTTAGCTGGAAAGTTCTGAACTTTCAGCTCTATTCAGTCTAAACCAGATGCCGCCAGTCAGGTCATGGAAGAAACATGCTGGTCCCAAGTGTGTCGTTGTTTCTGGGCCGGGTGTGCGTCTATCCACGATCCAGTTCAGCGTGCTGACGTCATCGTGATCGAATGCACTCTGGCTGTTCTGGCCAGCGCTCGCTCGATTATTTTCTTTGCATGCATTTCGTACACAATATTATTGACTTATTGAGTGCAAACCTGAAAACCATCTGGGCTACCTTGTACTATCTAGTTTTCGTAGTCACCTGTTTCGTCAAAGCGCATGTGAATGTCCCACTACTCCAATTCGAGAACTGTGGATTTTCTCATTTTAACTTTTAGACTTCCATGTGCCCAGTATCTGCTAAGGCCAAATGCGAATAGCGCAACATGGCTGCTGCAAGTACTAGTCGCGTCTACCCCACGGGTCATAATTGCTTTAGTGGCCTCGCTCGTCAGTTAAGTTTTTTTTGGCGTTTTGCTGCGTGGTATCGATCGAACGCACAATCATCTAATTAACTAAAGCAATACATGTAGCGTTGGCAATGGCAATCTGGCGTGTTATGATCAAAAAAAATCAATAATTGTGACGAAAATGGTCTGTTTTAGGTAAAAGAGAGCGGACTGCAATAGCTTGAACTTTAACTTTAGTCGTTGTGGCATTTGAAGTGAATTCCGTGTCTATCTTGTTATTCATCACAAAAATTACTTTCAACGAAGCGTGATTTTGAATGGTGGCCTCACTAGTCGTTAGTTTTGAAAACTGGTCACCCTTTTACGCACAGCTTCTGTTGCGGGACCCAAATATGGGTGACTCACCTCACTTGATGGACATCTAAATCACTAAACGTTTATTCCGCTTCAATTTGTGTGCGCTTTCAGGGTTTCTTAGTGCATTTTCCCAAACCACCTCGACATTCGCATATCTGTACTTCTTAGACAACGTGACTAGTCATTCAGCACTACAATGAGCATTTTAATTGTCCTGCCACAAGAAACATCGTCAGTCCCATCTTTAAGCAACTAAAAACCACATTATGGCATGCTTCTACTCCGTCCAATCAAATTGCCATTTTTTAGTCGATTAGTTCCTACTTAATGAATCACATTCACCTAAACAACACCAGTTCGGGTGATTTGATCTCACTTCTCACCATGCACGCGGATGTATTCGTTCATCCACTGATTCCGCTTCTCATTGTACGTATGGTGAAGCTAATTCCAGGCCTTGGGCGTGCTTCATCCTGTGTCACTATCGTTTCAAAGTGACCTAATTCGCTGCAACCCGGGTCCTCTTGATGTCCAGGTTACCTCAGATGTGAACTGACCTGGATAATTCAGGATTTGACGGGCTGCGTAGCAGAAGTAGGTCTGCCCCGTCATCAAGCTGCGTGATGGAAATTAGCAGGTGCCGCACTAATGGTGGACGTTTTCACGTGCCAGCAGGGCCTTATTACTCACCGATCTGAGTCAGCTTATCAGCATCCGCGCCCATTTCGTTACTTTGCCAGCGTGCGGAGCGCCCTTTGTGTGGACCCCATGTGCGGGTGGGGCCGGTGTGTGTTCACGCGACCCATTTTGCATGCCTGATAACGCCCTGTTACCAGGTCGGCACACTCGCCTGCATACTAATGGGACTGGCGTTGGCAAGGCGTGGTGGCGATCTTTTGATGTGTGCGTCGCCCTCGTTCTGCGTACTACAAATACCACCTGGGGCTGGCTTTCACGTTGGGTTGTTTAAGGGGGCGTGGAGCCGCTCAGGTAGACCTCGAAAATCATATTAGGCCTCCCTAGTAAGATTCCGACTAGGAACTCCAGATTTGCGTATTACTGTCCACAATTTCGGTCACCTCCAGTTTTAATGTGCCCATTGATGTAGCCTTCTGTAAAAATTCCAAAGGATTCTTTTTTTCTTTCCTGAATAAAGTAATTCGTCTTCGTAAACCAGTCACCACAGTTTGATCGTGTCTCCTCCTTACTTAAACTTGCGGTTCCCTCCTTTTCGTGTGGTCCGCTTTTCATTTTTGTTCCCTGAATTTAGTGTGTTTGAATAGATAATCCACGTTATTCGAACCAGATTTCAACTCAAGCACTCGGTACTTTGTGGTATAATTTACGACTGCGTCAAATAAGTGTTACTCATCTGTCTGTCCCCAATAGACACATCAGACAGGTCTTAAATCACCTCCAGTTGGGCATCTAACATGTGGCTGTACTGTTGACTCCTCCCCCACTTACCTCCATTAAGTATCTAAATCCGAAAATTTAGTCACATAGTCATTTTTTTCGATAATCAGTAATTGATAATTGCCCGTGTAGTCAGATTTATTTTGCCACCATCCATGCTAACCTTATCGTAGTCGAAACTATCATTTGTTTCAAGCCGTATTGGTCGTGCCACATCGAAGGGAAGTTAGGCAGTCCCTGTTCGTCGACTCGCCCAATTTTGTTTTACCAAATTCCACTTCGTGTGAAAGTCAATTGTTGTCATCTGATTGCATCTTGTCGGGCCGTTCTGAATCCAGGACGTATGGTCTACTGAGCGTCTGAGTCACACCCGGCTTGGCGTCTTTCATCTTAGGTGGAGGACCTTTCGGTGCGTTATTATGACCAAAAATCTTGGCACTCCGGGCTTCTCCGTGATAGGTGTCCAGAACTCTGGACCATGTCACCTCTGCACTTGGGGAATGCTAGTTTTTGCCTGCATTGTGGCTTTGGTTCTTAGCTAGTTCACGCTGTGGGGGATACTGAACGGCCCTATGAACAAATTCAAGAGCCTATATCCAATCGTAATTTCCCAAGTTTGTGAGCTATGACCTCAAAACAACTATTTGACCGGCATTTGTAAAATTTAGGTTTTACGTCGCGACCTCAGTTGTGCCCACGCGTGACGAAAGTCAATTAACCCTGACTTCGGGTTCTTTTCGCGCCAGATGGTGAAACTGCTTGTCGCTATGACTCATCCAATTTAATTGCGTTCAGGACAAGTCAATTTATCCACACTTTATTCGCGTTGAAAGAGCCGATTTTCAATGAACGAAATTGACCCACCGCCCATTACTTTGTTGGCCTTTGTTATCTTACTATATCTAAACGGTGATTTAACTTGTCTAAATGCCTGTCGTGTTGTGCCATTAGCACCACTAAGTGACTGTGACCTGAATTTTCACTAACGGCTTCACGTGGAACCCGCATAGCTCTATCATGCCTACTGAATGTATACTTGTTCGTATCAAAGCAGTAAATGCTCCAGTCGTGGGATTCGCTTGTGTTTTTTCATCATTTCATTCAATCTCATAGCACTTTCGAATGAAGCATAACATTGATTGTGAGTGGTTGGCAATATCGCCTTAATCATGGTAACCGTTATTAACAATTCAAATAGCCATTCGAACCCAAACGGTTACTTTCATATTCACAAATGTCCATAAAATCGTTCAGCGTAACCGCAAATGTGTGCGTTGAAGACCACTGTGGGTGCAAGTCGAGAAGACGTTGTCACGCGTCCGATAAAATAAGAGGCCAGTGAACATCGCCCTGCTTAGCATATTTTGCCGACCTTGCGCCAACAACCTCATTACAACAGCCTAGCGCATTAAACTAGAATTAAGAAACGCCCCCAAGCTCAAACATCAGTGTTTTGTTCAACATAACAAAATCTTCGTCCTAGAAGATTGTCGTCTTAACACCAATCAGCTGGGCATTTTTGTTGCATTTGCGTGACTCTGGATCTTTGCCTTTTCGTTGCATTTCATGTCATCTCCCGCCTTATTTTTGCATTTTGAGGCCCTATCATCAGTTTACAGTTCCATGGCCCAGCCAGGACAGTTGGGGACATCTGCCAGATGGCTGTGGATGACCTCGTGCGGATGAAGTCGATCCGACCGCCAACGCTGCTTCACGTGACCCAAGACTCCGTCACGGCATCTCGTCAGGCTGAAATGCTCGTTCATTTCCCCCTCTCACGGTCTTGATCAACATCAACGCCTGAGCCACGTCTTTCTCTTCGTTGTATTCTCACTTTTGATACTTTTGATAGTGGAGTTTGTTTTTCCTAACCCATGATAGTGATAATAAAAAATCCCGAGTCTTAGACCGTAAGAAAGGGTTCCTGGTAATTGTGGTCTTTCTGACGGACAAACAAGTGTGTGTAGGCTCGTTAATTTGCTGCAAAAGGCCTGATTTCCTTATGGATGCATATATAGCTCACTTGCTTAGCCCAAGGAATGGTGGAACACATCGCTCGAAAGCTTTGTGTCCAACACATCCCTTTCACAGCCTATTTCCCCCAGTATGTAGGACCTCTGGTTCTTAAACAGAAACCCAGAGTAAAGCTAGTCAATAAAAAATACCATAGAAAGGTTTGAAATACACACCAGCACAATGGCCATAGGTGCAATTCCTTAATTGGTTAAGGGGATCCCGAGAAAAAACGACCGTTAACGTTTAGCACCAGCGCTCTTTTTCACTATTTGCTCTGCATTTTGTGAATTTTGCAGGGGCAGGCGTTCATCTTGCAGCCGATGTGAACGCCTCTACTATTTGCGGTCGCGCCACCGCGCGCTTCAATCGAGAATGTAGCTGCACCTGAAGGCCAGCTCCTTCGCATGGTGGTTACGATGCACACGTACTGTTCGGAGTTTATATCCTTCCGAGAAATGGAATCCGAAGTGCTTTACATCTTACCGTTTCTGCCCCTAATTGTGTGAGGACTTTGGGTAGATTGAAGTGTTGTCATGTAACTCGCTACCTGGGGTATTTCGAGTAAAGACGATCAACCACGATGCTTGCATTTTACTTCAACTGTCGCATACTGCAATTTATTGCTCCCTTTGCCCTTGTGTAAGTCGAAGCCACATGTTAAAAAGTAGACCGAAAGGTGAGTTTATGTTATTGCAGGAGGGCTGGAAAACGTCAACACCAGCTGGGTAGCATTGTTCACTGTGGTCTGGGTGACTTCAGTACAAAAAGCTTGGTACATAGAGGACGTTGGGGTTTTATCGAAATCGCGCGGACACAACGATTGAATGCCTGAGTTTGTGCTTTGATTTTCGACAAATCAGGTCCTTGAGAACTCAGTACAATTTTCCTGTCACGTTGATTAACTTCAAGCGCGCCTTTCACCGAAGAAGTCTGTGTAAATTGAAATTATGCCATGACTTTGTGTTCATTTACCGTTGGGCAATTTTACTCATTCAGCTTCACTGAAGCGTTGGGTATTTAATGCCCACAATCAGTTACGCAAAATGACTTCAATGTTGAAGACGTTAGATTTCCTTACTGGGATGAGGTCCTGATATGGACGCGCATTTAATGCAAGCATTTTACAAGTGTCGTTTTTGTACACATATTTCAGTACGGCATCATCAAATTAACCTCATGAATAATGAGACTCGTCCGTGCTCATTTAATCGCGACTACAATTGACGGTGCAGTCCTCTTTGTGATGTGACGAACAGCACGCTGTTTAATTTGAGTTGATTCAGGGAACGATCAGTAAAGGTTCTATTTCCCGTATCCTTTTTTTACAAACGCATTTTCAAGTAATCGTGTTCTTCAGATGGAGCGACATCTGTCAAATTCCCTGCTTTAAATTCTGAATTAAGTCGCTGTTTGGCAGTCGTCTTCTTATCCCGAATATTGCCCATGTGTCGCCAGTTTCACCAAAGAATCTCAAGCGTGGTCAACGTCTGATACTGCTGAGGGATTAGCACCAAATTTACGCACACCATCCATTTCCTACTCCTAAAACCAATTTATTCTTTTCGCAATAGTAGCCACAGAAGCGATAATAAAGCTGACGTGATGATGTTCGTCGTCAGATAACATATTTAAAAGTCTGCATTACTAGGTGAGTTTACCTTTAAGTAATGGGATTGAAAGAACGTATCCAGAAAGCACTAGCGTCATTAAACCACAAATGCACTCAGCTATAACACCGCAGCTAGTGAGAAGTCGCATTATTTAAATGGGAGCGTCTTTCAGGCGAAGGGACAAATGCAAAATATGCCCCAGAGTGTCCATAGCTCCAACAATTACGTTAGCGCATGTAACCCTTTGGGACCTTAAGGCACTCCTTACATTGTCGTGAACTCAAACGTGTATTGAACACCCCACCAATCCATATACTTACAAGAGCATGCAATCGTATCCACTTTTAGCCTTGGCTAATTTTCTTCGAAAGAAGTAGCAAGCACAGAATTGGTGTCCGATTTTTAATCCCATCTTTCACCGTAATGTTAACATAATCCAACTAATCCAATAGTACAATAGGACATTCTCGAGTTTCCTATTGGTTGAGGAGTAATTCATTGCGTCTACGTTGCCCATTTTAGTGAAAGCCCCGTCCTCGATATCCTCCAGACTTAGCATTATCGCTTTTTAATAGTTTTTAATCACCATAAAACAATGTCTATGGGAATCTGCTCAGTACTGACACGGAATTACAAACAGATCTGGACATTGTTAGTCAAATTCAGGATAGTTAAATTGAAGGGGCATTGGAAACTCGTTGACTGATAGTGAGAAAAGTAGAGTAGCATCACAGAATACATTATTAGTTAAATTAGCTAGTGACACAAATTAAGATCTGGCTTTTGTCTGTCTAACGATTAGTTTAAAAAATAATGACTTACTGCCCATTCTAACAGATTATTCGTTGAAGGAAAGACGAAGTTATCGAAACCCATTAACTCAATTAACGAATTATAAGACTCAGTGGTTTTAGAAAGTGGGCTGTTATCGGTTTTTACCGGATTCTTATAACAAAGCTACGCTAGTTTCTTAATTGAATTATGCAGTTCGCATTCAATCTTTCGCAAATTTGGGTTTTTCAACACTTGTCGATAACTAATAATAGAATATATCGTGTTATTTTATCCATATATGACACACAGTTACACTTCAGCCACTTAGAATATCTCCAACAGCACCTTGGCCAGAGAGAATGAGATCTCTTCTTCACCAGTCTACTTTATTTCTTCTAGGCTTATGGAAACCAAGCACATTGCCTAGGCTGCATTCCGGTTTACAGCACTATTTGTTGGGAAATCAGTCAAGCTTAAAGATCACGGTCAAGGAACCACTGAACTTCCAACAAAGGGCTGAAACGAGACGCTTTTCGCTACACTTTGTGCTCGCGTCTTCTGATGTTGTGCTTAATTTCCTCAGCCGTTATGTAATCTTCAAACTTGTAGACATTTGCATTTGATATAGACGTTAAGCGACCTGCGTGATTTTCAAAAGGTCAATAAAAGCGTTGTCGATGCACCATCCTAATGAGGTAACACGCATTCGCCATGCGGACGAATTACGCACTTCCGGAAACAACAGCTGGCACACACATCAGATTCCCAACGGCTATTGGTCTACGCGCATGCGAAGTCTCAAGTACGCTTTTTTGAAACCCCATTGGCTCAGAAGAAACTGCTGTCTGATTGACGGATGGACAGCCTTTAAAAAACGCGCTTTTATATGATTCATTGATTGGCTAAGCCTAGCTAGATCAGCTGTGCTTTTAACTCCGTACAAACACTTTGGGCATTCGGCGCGTCTTTCGGGTTTGTTGAGCGTGTCGGCTGGGTGCGCGGGACGGTCCTGCAATTCTGGGGCATCCGTTAAGGCTTCAATTTTTTTACCAACCGTTAGGTTTGTGTTCTTTTGTTTGTGACTTGCTTTATAGCATTCATTCGGGTATGACAAGAAAAAAGGGTAGCATTCGTCAGACACATGAAGTGGAGGAGGGTATGTCTCTAAAATTTTCGTTGTAATGTTTAAATTTCTAGCCGATATTGGATGGAGCTTTCGGTACATTGATGAAAGTGCGAACCAAGAAGCTCCATCTTTACACTCTCCATTTGGTTGGGTGAATTCGGGCTCCACTTTTATTCCTACAAACGAGTGTGTTCCGAAAATTCTCCCTGATGTTAGTAGCACAACATCATCTGGGTACTTTAGTTCAAGCAGCCGCTCAGCACCGCCAGGGTTCGTTGCTGACACGGTATTTGTACTTTAAATGGTTTTAATGTATTTAGGCCTTTGATTCGTATAGCCAGCCGGAGTTTAGTAGCCCTTCCGGTGTTCTCGAGGGGGGCAATTCCAAGGAGAACCCATTGTTCCCTTTGCGTCGTTCACAGTCCTGTAAGGCAGAATGGCTCGTAAAAAGAACCCGCGTTCGCCAGAGTTGGCCGCGCCTGTCAGGCATTTCGCGTCGGAGTGAGGATCTCAAATGCTGCGCCAACTTTGCTAGATCTCTGTTTACAAGTAACGCATCGTATCGTCGTGTACTCGGCGCCATTAGTAACAAGCCAGGTCTAAGTGGATTCCGCGATAAACGAGTTAAATCTTGTGTTCGGTTTGCTGACTTATCATCGCCCACTACACCTGTGTACAAAAAACAGAGGTTTGAGATGCGAGAGGCCCTCGTCCCGTGCGATATATCTCCTGTTCGCTCGAATCTCGACGATACAATTGCTCCTGATGATGCAGGACTCGATGATTTGAGTTCGCCTGAGTTTCCGCTGACGAGAGGAGGGTTGCCGTTCGATATTAGCTGCCGTCAATCTACTCCTAGGATCCAAGGAAAGGAAGCTTCTGTGTTGGAGAGCAGTTACGTTCAGGCGCAGCCCTGTAAGCTTCCTCGGTTCTCGTCTGTCCCCGCAAATGTCGAAAACGACAGAGTAAGTAAAAATGCACCCATAATTCTGCTTATCTCAAAAGTTTAGTATTCGTCCAGCCTGGGTCAAATAGTGTCTAAATCCGATATTATTTGATGCAAGTATGTCAGCAAACGCCAACTAGTAACCTATTCGATCACGGAACATCAACTACCACTTTTGTCTGTCCCGAGTCCCTTATTTTTAAAATAGGTTTCCTGTTTTCAAAAGCAAATGCAATCCAGCCTGAGGCAATATTTTCTCCTAAAAATAACTTTTCTTGTTGTTTGTGATTCATGCCTCAATTATGTGATTGTAATAATAGGGAAGTTGCGTGCCTTAATTCCTTCTGTATCACTAATTCTCCAATCTTAGTGCTTAGTCTGGCGGTAGAAGAAGCTAAAACATTCAGTTGTGGCTCATTTACTTGTAAGGTATTGTATTCTTTCTGTTTCTTAATTACACAACATATGATACTCCTCGTCGATCGTTTGCACAATTACTTGATTTCGCATTTTAATGATTTACGTTTCTTGCTGTCAAAAAGCAATGTGCGGAAAGCCACGGTAACTGTTTTGGTCGTTCGTTCCCTGCTTCTATTAAATTTGCTACTCCATCTGCGAAATGTCCGTGCACGTTCACCATTTTCTTGCGTCCTAACTTTTGATCTAGTAGTTACATTTTTTTATCTACATCAACTTGACGTAACGAGCGTGCTAGTTGGGCTCATTAATGATACCCGGGACCCAGAACAGTGCTTCTCTGTATTTTGTTTCCTGCACCCCTCATGTCCATTTTCAACTGGGATCCCACTTAAAATGTGCAAAATTAATTCACTTAAAATTTCACTCGTGAATGCGAGTCTATTTTAAGTGAATTAATTTTGCAGTAGATTTTAGATTAATTAATGCCAGTAGATTTTATGAGGTCATCAGCTATATTAATGATCACTGACTGCTTATTGGTCTCATTCGGGGTTGTTTGTGACTCATAATCAGGGACTCGTGCGCTGTTGGCTAAAACCATGCGTAGAATCTGGTAAAAATGGCCGTGTCATGGTGTCAGATCAGGTCTAGTTAAGCTGCGTTGTAGAGGTTAGAAACCACAATATGTACTTCCTTATCGTTCACCTATCACCGTCAAGCTAGAAGTTAGAATTATTGGCGCTAATTTTTATCCCAGTTCAGAAATTACCTAATAACTTAATGGATTTTCGACCAAGTGCACATTACTGGACAGTCGTCCGTAAAATATTTGGCCATGGTCCGGCATTGATGACAGCATTAGCTATACAGGCAGTAAGTTGACCCGTCGACTTCAACTTTTCCTGGCTTGGTGTCTGGCTAAGTTGATATTCCGTATGGGCCTAGTACATTGAAGCACATGACCACAACACATTATGACCATCTTTTAAGCTTTCGTGTCCGACGCACCTCTTCGGAACTTTGTCTAATGTCAGGTCAAATTTGGAAGTTTACTTGCCCTTTCCTGAGCCCATTCACTCGCCGTCCCTTGTGGTATGCTCATTGGGGAATGGTCTTGCGTGGAAATATTATTGAAGGCAGGCTTCCTGTCCTCTAGTTTATGTGTACTGGTTGCGGACTTTCAGTCATTTTGGAGAAAGCTCACCCTACTTGGTATTACAGCTTCCTAAATGATGTCAAATTTACTGGAGCCACATGTTCGTTGACAGTCTCATGCCCAAGGTGTGGCCTAGAAAATACAGTTGTCTAAATCAGCCTAGTGACCATCTAAGTGTTAGTTCCTCATGTGTGAAATACATGCAGCCGACCTCACTTGCTTTTGACGCAAAAAAACATTACCATCACCGATACCCCAATTTGGTACCCCATTCGAAAAGTAGAGGTGTCCCATTTAGTAGCGGTAATTGGTTGGTAGGCGCTTTCCATTACAGTTTTGTTTTGTTTGTTTGCCTGACTTGGTAATGTATACCCACGCACAATTCGATACATTTTAGTCGAGCACCACGAACGATTCGTCAAAAGACGCCGCCGAATGCCCTTGCGGACAGATAAATCTCTAACAACTTACTCAACCCTTGTAATATCTTGCTAGGCCGTACACCACAAAGCCAATCAATGTTTTGGACCCATAAAACCGCAGATCGAGATTTGAGAAACCTTTCTGGTTTAAAAAATTCCATCATCTTCCCATTAATGTTGAAATGGCCTTGGTAACTTTATATACATACTTTGCGCCATTACCCACTAAGTGGTGTCATATCGGAGGTTTTATCTACTGTGTATGTAATAGGGCTGTTTCGAAGGAGATGGGCTTGCTTTGCCTAATTATAGATTTATGCATTTCTATTGTTTTAGTTATTGTCGTTGTCGGACAGCGGTGGCGATGGTCGCGGCCCGCGTGCTCTTCCTGTGATAGAACGTACTGCCTCTGGTGTCAACTTTGTTAGCGCTGACACCGTAGCTCGCCTGATAAAAGGCGAGTATGAAGAGCGAAAGGTTAACTTCCTAATCGTCGACTGTCGGTACCCCTATGAGTTCGAGGGAGGTCATGTGAAAAATGCACTGAACGTGTACACTCCCAACGACCTCGTGCGAGAGGTTTTCTACCGGATTCCAGCGCAAGACCCCTCTGGAGGTGAAACTCCCATTTTTTTGGGTGACCAACTGGACCAGCTGTTGACCGCCGAAAATCCCGAACTATCCTTCCCCACTGTAAGCGAATTTTCGCCAAGCAGTTCGGAGGATTCTATCGAGGAACAGGACAGTGAAATGGAAGACGACGTCCTTCAACACGCACGCTCTCTGTCCATGAATAGCCCGGAATCTTCATCGCTGGACGAATCTGCCCCGACAGAAAGGCAGAGTCCCATGTCGATCGAATGCAGTGTCAGAACGGATGATCAAAGCCCAGTTGAACCAAGTTTCGTTGTCATTTTCCATTGCGAGTTCTCATCTCAACGAGCGCCCTCCATGTGAGCATCGTTTTCCTCTCCAGAGTTTTACTTACATCAGCATTGTGCTAATCATCACTCAATCTAAACGTGTTTTTCGCTACAGGGCAACCTTTTTAAGAAATATCGATCGAACGATGAATTGCAATCGCTACCCATTTTTGTTCTTTCCGGAGTTATACGTGATGAAAGGAGGGTACTCAGAGTTTCACAAGCGGTTCCCGGTAAGACCCTCGGCCCCCCATTTGTCTTTAACCGCAATTCCACTATTGTGTTGTGTTTTGAAATGTTGAAGTTGTGTTTTTTTTCTAACTGTTCCTCCTAGCTTCGGGGACCTCTTCATGTTTGAAACCACCCCTTCGCCAAAATTTACTGTGAAAATGGAAATTTCTGTCCTTGCTTGGAGTTTTGCGAAGGTGCATAACCTTTTTGCGAGTGGCCGCGTTAAGTGTAGATGGCAAGAGGCGCGTACCCGGGTAGAATTGCTGTAACCTGTGACGGCCACTGAACGTTTCTGTGCAGTGTCACGAAAGTAGGCGCATTTCTGTATCAGCTCGTGGACTCTTGGCTGCAAAGTGTATTGCCTTGGGCACGTAAACGTGTAGATCAAAACTAGGTGCTCGAGGCCGCGATAGCTTTACAAAGGGTAAAATCTCCCCACATAACCGTCGTTTTCAAATCCCCTCTTAAAGGAGCACTGCGAACCAAGCAATTACGTGACCATGTTCGACATTGAATTCCGTGGAGAGCTTCGGTTTTACCGCTATCTGACGAAGCGCGTCTTCACGGCGTGCCAGCGCTGCTTTCGCGATGCCCAATTTCTTCCCCGTTACTCCACCGCGCAGCTTACCTTTGAACACTTCACGTCAAACAACAAGGACAGTTCCGCTTCCCGGTTGATGAAAGCGGCATCAATGGGAGACAAGGCTTCCACTTCACGTGAGTACAAATCAGGATTGTTTGTTCTTGAAAGTAATAGAGGGTGCTTTAGATTTGGGATTCAATTGCGGGCAGTGAGTTATTAAAGGAATCTCCATTCGCGATATCGATCGTTATTTTGTCAACCATAGTTGTGTGCTGACTACTTGCAACATTACCATCTGGCTAGATTCCGTTGCCACGCACTCATCACTTTAAACCTGTCAGTCTATCTTCATCTGCGGCGAACTATGGTATTCCGTTTTTATTTTACGTTGGCCTTGGAAGAAAGCTTACATTTGAAATAAGACTGGAATATGGAACGTGTGGCTTTATGCGTGTGTTTGCAGGTCTGACGGAGTCTATCCGTGATTTAGTTCATCATTTCCCAGAATGGGGCTGCCCCTGTGCTCGAGGGTTCGTGTGTTTGCAAGGCAGGCGATATTCGGAACTTGTGACGGCGAATTCCAATTTCTCGGCCATCCTATCATGTTTTCTCTTGAAACACGACGAATGACGTCTAATTTTTGAATACGAAGCCCCGAATTAATCAGCGTCAGGTGCGCTTGTGAAAAAAAAAACGGTGTGTTGTATAAGCAACAATATTGGAGAAAATTTTGTTTTGGTCAAGCACGGTTGCGCCTTCTCCGTGTACATTAGCCTCGTTTGCTCTTAATCCAGTAAATTTAGCCTAACCACACTTACCACCTTGTAGGATCTTTCCTACCATCCCTGATGTGACTTCACAATTTCGTTTTAGTACAATTTAGACCTTAGAAAACATTTGGGAATGAGCGAAAATATCACTAATAGTATTAGCCCCTTTCAGGTAGTAACTTGACGTGCTTTGAGTCCGAACGTCGTGATTTCTGCGTGATTCTCCGCAATGGTTGTGTATCGTCCACTTTCACCCACCTACACACCCATGCGCTTCAAGACACGGGTCACTCTAATTAGACCTCACAGAGATTATATTTATCAAGGTTTTCGATTAGGCAAATTTCCTCAGACTCTGTTCTGCCTGAATTTTGATATTGATAACTTGGTTTGGATGTGGTAGGTTAATGATCAATCACATGCTCCGTTTTTTCTAATCGTGTCTAGTGTCTTTATAACCGGGACTTGTACGTCAAATCCCAATGGTTTGTCACGTCGCTTTGAATTTAAGACATGTGTATCGTCTGTCAAGCTCAGCGTTACTTTCAAATTCGGTTTAATGTCTAAATTAGTCTGCGGTCAACAAATTGGTTGAGCACCACGATTTTTTTACAAAAACATACTTGCAAATATAGCACTCCAAGTAAGGAACCCACCCTAATGTCTCAGCGACTCTGACTGTGGCCCATGTGGCTGCACAAAAGACGCTGTTTGTTATCACTTAATCTTGTGGATGCATAGAACACTGGTGGTGAGTCGCCACATTCCTTCTGTGTGGCAGGTGGCTCGACAGCGGTGTTGGTTTTCTCAAACAAAGCAGGTATGTGTCCTACACCGATGGACATCTTACTTTGCTGCTGTTATGTACGCAAATGCTCCAACCGGTGTGCCTTTATCACAATAAAATGGTTGCCTAAAGATACACATATGTCAAATCATCTCAATGGTAAACCCCAAGACATTTTAATGTCACTTAACCTTTTATGGTGCTCGTCGTAAGGGCACAAGGCGTTATCGTCCGGAAAACACCTGAACTCAGTTTTGTCTTGTTTGACAGCGATGTTCGCATCCTTAAAGAGGTGGAAATGCGAGACACCGGCCCCTTTGGAGTCAGCAAAGGACACAAGTGGAAGTGGCGATGGGTCTTTCAAGTTGGAATCTCCTGCTTCACCCGCCTTTCCGGAAGTGACTTCACTTCGTCTAGCCGAGGCTGTGATTCGAATCGGAGATCACGTGACTGCGGCTGTGTTGGGTGGAAGAAATCAGGATCGCGCTGCGAAGCCTGCTTCCACCCGCGCCTCCCCGAAGAGGATAGCCCCGCTGCCGCTGTCAGACGACCCGCTCACCCCCATAAGCAACGTAGTCGCGCTACGCAGGGCACGTCCTGCTGACGACTCGTCTCCCAGCAACTACCATTAAGCGTAAAACAGCTTCTAATGGTACTTCTTTGCAGTCCCACATAAGCTATTTGGCTGTGTTCCAAATCCCGCAATAGCTTTTATGTGCCTGGATGTGTAAATTAATCCTTTTACCCCCATCTTCTCCCACCTGTACATTTGACTTTCATTCCTGTTCTTTGTTTTCGTTGGGTACGGTCAAGTTGCACCAATGTACCCACACGCACCTTTGCTGTAGACAATACCCAGTCGACGTTTGAATACTTTTCGGACTGTTTTAACTTTGGAGCTTGTCTGCTTCACTCCTTTTTTCTACGAAAGCATCCTATTTATCGGGCCTTTCCAATGTTTTACTACCTTAAGTTAGATGGTTACAAATAAAATGTATTTTATGTGCCACCACAATGCATGCGCCTGCTGTTCATTTTCTTGTGTTGCTGGCTGGGTTCGTGGACCAACTTGACATTCTGATCTGACTTGATTAAACTTAGCTGTCTTAGCACAGTTACCGAATTTAATGAGACTTCAAAACCATCTCAAAGTGCGCCTTTAAAATGACGCCTACTCACACTTGAAAGCGTGCGGTCGTTAAATTTTTTCCCTAGAAGGCAACTTTGTCTTTATATATCATATAAAGCTGTCTCGGGTATTAGCAGGTCTCAAGGTGTTATTTGTACCATGAGGTGGGCCACGTTTCGGGTCTTTTTTATAATTGTTCGCAAGTTCTCGCTGCTGCGCTGTGTGGCACAGCAGTGTGATGGCGCGGCGGACGAAAATACAATTGACGCATGTGGTCTTCTGCATTAGTAAGTGCATTGTGCAGAGAAGTTCCGAGAACCAAATAAGTTTCGTGGTAAAGGTGATCTGGGTTCGTCGGTGACTATCAAAGGTGGATCGTGCTTACTGATTTATTGAGTTTGTACGTCGCGCAGTATGCCTGTTGCTCCTCTTATATGCTTCTGTCCACTTGGCTTATTTATCTAACTCATAATTTCACACCACTCCTCATATCAAGTTACCGCAGTTGTAGTCGACTGTTGAGGTAGCAGATTCACATTCCCTCTTCTTATTCTCCTGGGATTTACAACCATCTATCCTCTAAGAACCTGGTGACCATGCCGTCCTGCCTTGGCTTGTAGTTAGCCATCTTGTCAAATTTTTAACAACCAGGACACTCGAAACGGTACCAAGTATCCTAGGCAAATGCCAGACAAGACATTATTAAGTCCAAAACAAAGATAATTCGAAATCGACGGTGTTGTGTGCTCGGCATGAGTACAAATCAGACATGGCGAATTTCTCGGCATGTGGTAGGAGTTGAATTCAGATGATCAGACATCACTATAACTCAGATGTGACAAAATTGACAAATTATCGTTGATAATTATTCAAGAATGTAGGATTTAGAGGCTTGTTGGAATTACACAGGAGGGTAATAACGGGTGGTGTTACACTGAATCCACTCCGGTTCAATTTGACCATAATTCGCACCCTGTTTGTTACAATCCACGCCAAGCACATCCTTTCGACCCTCCCACTGGCTAGCGTATCTCAACCTCGATTATCTGAAAATCGTTCCTGATCTCTTTTTTGGTGCCATCCACCCTCGGTTGGCATGAGTTTGCCTTGATTTCCTGCTCCGTGCAGGGGAATGCAGGTGTAAAAGCCATTTCTTGCACTCAAGGCACAGTATCCGTTGTCTTAACAGTTCACCTCTAACACTGTCACTTCACTCGCACTAATGACTTACTTTGTTCCCCTCATTTCATCAAAAACTATCCACGACACCTAGATCTCGTACCAATCTTCAATTAACTCTTCAGTCATTTTACAGGTGTCAAATTTGCTTATCAAAGTCAATGAAGTACACGCAGACATTTCCGTTGAAAGTCGAAAGCCCATTTTCCTACTTATACCTTACACATGTTCCAATATTGTCCCATTTCCTAGACACCACGCACGCTTGTAGCCGTTCTGCTAATAATAATAGTCTCATTCAACCACATCAATCCGGTCCAGACAACAAATAAATGTTATCGTTTTATTATATTCTGGCCTGTGTATACAACTGTTGTGATAACCCTTTTAGTCGAAAAAATTAATTAAGTTTGGGATTCCTTTCTGGTGCTAGTATTAATTTTCGAATGGACTAAATCGTGTGGTAGTTCGATATGGCGACTTTAGTATTCGCAATCAACTCTTAAAATGTCAAGCCCTGAAAACTGTTAAAAAGGGACTTGAAAGACCCTCTCAAAATCAGCAAATAACAATAAGCTAAAACCATTATCAGTACGTTTACGGAGTCTTCTCTAATCCTACGTGCAAGGAATGGGCTTAAAAGGCAGCCTAGCGGTGAAGAATACATAATATTTACCACGGATATGAGTTACGTTCCAATAAAGTGGTCAGATTGCTATCAGCGATATTAAAATTAGGCTTCTGCTTAATTCTTTGAGGCAAGCACACGGAGCATGAAGTGGTCTGGTACTTTATAGGATACTGATACTGAATCCTTTTTTGCAACATTTTTATCCTCCGCCTAACATTCAATTGAATAAATGTCCGCAAACTTAGCTGTTGTGGGCTTAATAGTTATTTTCCCCGTTGTACCTGAGTTTAAAAATGCAGCTTAGGTGGTGTGCTCAGAGAGCAGACGACTGCGCACCCAAACAGTTTTATTATCTATTTACGCTGTTTAGCCATACCTGCTATGTATTCCTGCCTTATTAGTCATTGATGCCACCGAATGTTTGGATCACGACACTCCCATATACTTGCGACACTGGTCCTTGACAATTTCGATTTTATTAAAATAAATTAGCCCAAACAGGACATTTTCAATCGACTATGTTGCACAATGCCTCAGTCTAGTGTTGATGCTGTATATTTGTGTTTTATCTGTAACATTTTGGAAAATCAGGATAATATCGATTGAAACTTAGATAATCGCGAATGGCTGCGAGCTGTTATTCTGGAACCATTGGTCAACGGAAATTCTCCTACACGGGTTGTGATTAAATCCAACCTCGATATGACACATGTGAAAACTCCATTAACAATGCAATACAGGTTGATGAAGATTCATGTTAGAAGATATGTAATGTTAAAGAAGAATTTGTCCATCAAGATAATGGTAATTTCTACGTTATATTCGGTAAGTAAAAAGCGACGAGAAGCCGAAAGAGGTAAAGTGTTAAGACATCCATCAAAGTCACAGTCCAATCGAGCAGCACGACAGGATTATCCAGGATCCGGCAAAGATGCCATCGCATTCCACAGGACCAAACATATTTTTAAATCAACTTTGAATACAGTGCACTCTACTTACAAGTGACACCATACGAAGGGCCAAGCATTTAAAGAAATATGTCATTTCTAATTACAACTCGCGAAATATAAAAACAAAAGACGTAAACTTAGGGAATTCAACAAAGAAATGGCAATGCCGTGTATTGCGAATTTAATGTCCATTTTCCAGGTATGGCATCAAATTGTAGAATCTTTGTGTTGTTCATCGATATGTCCACACTAATAAATACCTCTTTAAAATGAAAAATAAAATAAGAGTTAATTTCACTTAAATTTTCTCATTGCGTTGATTAGTCAAACACAGTCACCTGGTGTCACCAATGCACCCTCGCATGCAGGCATCATGCCCACGAGGAAGCAGATTCGAAAACTGCGTCAAATTTCTCGTAATTGTGTGGTTTTCCCCTATCAACAGTTTACATGCATTCACACGGACGAGCTATCTAATTGTACAATCACGTTACTGCAAAATCTATGATCGCAGTTTATTCCAACTAAGTCAGGCAATATTTATCAAGACTTTACCACTCAATGTACTTTCAGATGAATCATTACCTAACGCAATTCAATTTCAACAGAGGTCGTGTTCAGAGGCACATAAATCTTCTAAATGCTGGCCTTCTCTACTTAAACCATTAACCAATAAGTCGATATTATCATTGCCCGTGCCTGAAATATTAATGTGCTTCTCATTTATTGCAGGATAAGTACTAGGGACACCGATGTGCTTAGCCTTTAGACACTCAGACGCAATGACGAAAATGTCCATTAGCAAGCTGCGGTTTCGCAGTAGGAAAGACCAGCCACCCAGATAGGGGGTATTGCGTCACTAGTCACCGTGCTTTGTTGGTATCTGTGCCAACTGCTGCTGTGGTGCTGGCGGCTTCTTCAAGTGAAAAAGTGATTCATGTACCACAGCAATCACAGACTCGATAGTTTCAAGAGTCCCGGAGAATGCTATGATGGACACTGTCCGATGCAAAAGAATATATTATCAAACACCACTTTTTATTTTGTCGCATTTCCACGGCATAGTAATCCACGACAAACCCAATTGGCTTCGGTTACAAGGCTGTTCAGGGGGAATCACCACACTCCAGAAACAACCAACACTGAGCTCAACAACAGGGCAGAGTTCAAAACAGCCTATGTCCATATTGGGCCGACACATGCCAGTGCTCACGTGTGTGTGTGTGTATTTGGGAAACACACTTGGGCATGAATGACAACTGCTCCCACAATGGATTTCGATTGAATTGAGCACACCGGACGTGCGAAATCATTGGGGATGAAGCTTTGTTCAGTAGACCGTAGTTGCCTAAACACATGGCGCTCGATAATGGAAGTCAGGATGAGAAGAGTACCAAGTGCAGTGTTAATGCGACTGCCACGGGGCTGCTGCCTTCATCATGGATGTTGCATTGGTTCAGCAGACGAACTCACGGTGGTGACTGCGATAACGTGTGGCTCTAAGGCTCTTCACGGACTGCGCACCGACAGCCCGCCCATCAGTAGACTAGTGCAACCATCTCCGTCGGAATGATGACTCGTCCGACCGGATATCAAATGGCCCTAGTCCGCATCAGGATACGATTCCAAGTTTTCTCCCTCCGTGCACGACACGTGGCGGACAACGGGGTGTGCATGCGCATGGCTGTGCGTATGTTTGTGCGTGTGTGTGTGTGTGTGTGTCATCATCCACTAGTGTGCACCTTGAAGGGGACCATCGTGCTTTGTTCCTGCAGTACCCTCCCCACCCCTCCCCCCACCCCTCCTCCACACTTCCATCATCCGCTCCATCTGTACGTCCAAAACACCCAGCTCTGCTAGTTACCGTTTCGTCCTGAGACGGCGTGCTACAACCAACAAGCCATTCACATTGGTGAGATGGACACCAGCTGTGCTGCGTGCCTGCACCTAGCGACTGTCAATTCTCATACAAATAACACCAGGCCTTCCTCCACCACTTTACACGTCGACAATTCCTAACCATCACGAAAGAGGATAATGCATTAGTCATTTCGATATTTGACTGTCGAAAATGGAGATGGAGTAGATGGTACATGGTTCTAACCCAGGCTAATCAAAGCTTAACCACATCAGACAGACACCTACACATGTCCGGTTGGAGTCCGTGGTTCGAAGCTGTCAACCCGCCAGACTGGCTTCTGTGTGCTGGCCAAACACAACACATCCGGCTGCTAGATGATAATCATCAATGGCCTTATGCTCATCGCAACATGTCCATATATTTTCTGTTTTATCTAATTTGGGGACATAAATTGTGTGTGATTAAAAATGAAAGTGCTGCTCATTCTTCATCTAAGCATCTCTTATACATGGAACACCAGATCAGATTCGTATTCCCTTTTTGGCTAACTGGATTTTGTCGATCAGCCATTGGCGCCTCATTTGAGAATTCACATCATATTGAGCTCGCATGTCGGTCGTCTTAACATGTCATTTGAATTAGTTAACGCTTTTTACGTGTTGTGACGCCGATGCTCAGCTACATCTTTCTCACTCTCGTAAGCTCACTATTTGATTTCGATTCAAATTACGCGTAAAAAGGCGCTTTTGGGTTGTGTTTTTTGAATTAATATGAAATTCAGGGATTGTTTACTCGAAGATGCCTTAATTTACTCACAGCGATTTTCCTAGATCCAATTTCTGTCATCGTACACACACAGAGTTTGATTGGACACGAGCAGTTACGTTTTGTTAAGAAAGGGAATTCGGATTTTAAATAGATGGCACCCGCTTTCTGTTGTCGACTGGCCAAAATTTCTAATGTTAAATATTCTTTTTGCGAATAGTGGATGATACAGTAGCTTTCCAATTCAAACTGCTGTTGGTAAATTTCATAAAATCTATCCTCATCACTACTTTAGTCTACGATGATTCTAACGAATCTCTGCGAATCTGTATGAACGTGACGAAAATTACTGTCGAATCATTACGCCCCACCTCCCAATTCCAACCGAATGACGTAGTTGGGGTGAAGTGGATGCAAATGCGTACCCTGTCCCCCGCACCTGGAGAGTGTGTGTTCGAGCTGGCGCGCATCGACGCGTGATTTAATCGTCTCCTCGCCCGGCCTTAGGTTAATGCGCATGGAGAGAGGACTGAGGGGATCGGCTTGAGGACACGTAGCTTCGGGGTCGCAACTGTTCGTTTAGGCCTGGGTAGCCATTCACAAGAGCCCATTAACGAAATTGCCACCAGATGGTCCAACGAACCGGGTGTAATGATGCCCACGGCGTCACATATGGAAATGTCGATTTCTAAAAGTTAAATTAAATTCGAGCAAATAAGCTACAACTCGAAAATAAATTTCTAGAAATCCTCACATGATAACTAGATATTTATGTGGTCCCACTCATTTTACACAGTAAAGGCATATTTAGTTTAGCCAATCGTGGGAAAATGAGATTGAATTGACAATAGAATGCCCAGTGCAAATTGAATGCGGTGGATGGCAAAGCAATTTTCTAGGATCGGCAGTGTGTGCGATACCCAAAACCGGCCAATGGAGAATTCAAAGGGAATTAGATCCAGGCTGACTGGTTAGCAACACCTAACTTCCCTCAACATATAAATCATCTCAATTTCCTCCCCCATCATGAATGTCACAACGGCACACTTGCTCCATGTAAAAAAATCACGAAAACAGTTTTGAAAATTAGCTTCTCTACTTGGACTTCCATGAGTCGTTTCGACGCTTTCGAAAATCGACGTTTCGAGACTTTTTATGTAATTGCAGTCCATATTGCTGGGGACACGTCAGTTCACCGTCAGCGCTGATCTTCGCACGATGTCTTCGCAGCAGTGAGCTCACCCAGGACGACGGTTTCCTCAGCCACGTCATTCGAAAAACACGGTGTCACATGCTAACGGCCTTGACAACCCCATCGATTCGACTACCTTCTTGTAACTGAATCAACACATATGATAAAGTTGCCTCGTTATTTTACTTGGTCGATCTGCCCAATCCTACTTCGCTTTGTACACCCTTCAATATGCCTCAGTCCCTTGTTTACATTTACGCTAGATAGAGCACAATACCAGCGAATCGCTGCAACGTGTAGATGATTCATTCTTCATGCTAGTTTGAAAAATGTTGCGATGAGAATAAGGCCATTGATGATTATCATCTAGCAGCCGGATGTGTTGTGTTTGGCCAGCACACAGAAGCCAGTCTGGCGGGTTGA